AACTTCTATTTTTATCTTTGTAGTCCTAGCACCCAGTAGTGCCTGGCACACAGCAGGTATGCCAATAAATGCTTATTGACTGATTAATGAAAACTGGAAAAAAAAAGAAAGAAAGAAAGAAAAGAACAGAAAAAGAAAAACCAAAAAACTTCTCTTGTTTAGTCCTGAAGGTTTCAGGTTCTTTCTGGACAATGAAACTGATAAAAGCTCTGTCACTTGAATCACAAATTAGAATGTATAAAACCCCAAGTAGTTCAATGCAGGTTCCTGTAAACTGAACTACATAGGGTATGGAGGACTCTTGTAACCTCAAGCAAATTAAATCTTGATGACCTTGGTTTATTTATCTGTAAAACAGGAATTTATGTTAACTTCATGGAGCAATGGGGAAACTACAAATAATGTAATATTCTTCAGATAAAAGCCAAATAGCACACCATTATGGAAATCAAATATTATATTTCACCCTCCTCAAGAATACACACAATAAAAAACATCATGTTCTTCTCATACTTAAAAAATGTAGATGAGTTCTTCCTTAAGCCACATTCAAATGGGCTTCTAATAAAAAGACTGAAGATAACTCTAAAGATAGTGAGACACTGATAAACGCTCATGTCTTAGTGGGAACTCTGAAAATTCACTTAATCTCAATGACATGTGCTGAGATTTTAAGAAAATTGCCTAAGGTACCACTGGCTTTTCTGTTATATTTAAGTTCTCAATGAATTGCAAAAGGTCCTTACACAACAAGGGCTTTTGCTGACAAACAAGGTTTTCAGCTCATACTTTTCAGACACTGTCTTCATACCTCCTTTGGATTTCTAGGTCTATATGCTAAGAAGTCTTTTGGACAAAGCAGATGAGACGTTTTTAAGTACTTTTAGATACAAACAGGAATCTAGCATCTAATTTTGCTAGATTAAAATATTGTTTCCTTCATCTTTTTTTTTTAAAAGGCAATTGGGGTAAGTGACTTGCCCAGGGTCACACAGCTAGAAAGCGTCAAGTGTTTGGTCTGAGCTCCCATGTGAACTCAGGTCCTCCTGACTTCAGGGCCAGCGCTCTATCCACTGCGCCACCTAGCTGCCCCTTCCTTCATCTTTTAATTTCTTGCTCAGTCCCACCTGATCTTTATAAACCTCACTTTTATAAAAACCTTTTACTCTAGTTACAGAAAGATAACTTCTTCTTGATGTTTGAACGCTATCACAGAAAGGAATCCAAATAATAATCCTTTCCCTCACTAGACAACTGTCCTTCTCCTACTGATGTCACAGCAATAGCATAAAAGTATTTAGGAGCAGAAACACCTTAGATTTGCAGTCTTGATTATTATACTAGTCAAAAAGAAGAACGGACTAAGGTCAGCAGCAGGCAAAAGGAGGATGGCTTCAGTTCAGAAGAAACAGAATAATCAATGATACTTGAGATTTCAGACAGATCAGATTGGTCACTGAATGTAGTGATAAAAACAGCACATATAGATATACACGCAGAAACAAGAGCCACCAACCCAACTTTTTGTTTGAAAGGCTGTTAGGTTTAGCCTAGACTATACGTGTAAGGAGAGAGCTCTGCTCACAACCACAGCTGCTAATGGTTATGGATTTGGCAATCAAAATGTCTTTTGTTAAAAAAAAAAAAAAGTTAACTGCCTTACTATTGAGGTTACAAACCAAAGCCTTGATGCATTGTCACAGTCAACATCCTCCCTGCTGTTTTTGAGAGCTTACATCTGCTGTTGGCAGATAAAACGCTGGCAAACAGCATGAGTTTCTTCTAGGGGAATGCAAGAAAAGCTTTACTAGATAGCCATCCTTTCCCTTTCTCTCCACAGTCAAGCCCTTAAGGTCTCTCAGTTTCACTCCTACTGTTGCTAGGGTTGAGCACTTGCCACTGTTGAAAAGCCTGGAGGGATTCCTTTTGGCATGAAATAACCATGCCAGCCACACTACCCATGGGGGATGAAAGGCAGATATGTTCTCAGCCTGGGGAAAAACATTTTACACACACATTTTAAAAGCCACTTACCCAGTGTGGCCACACTTGACTTTAAAACTCCCACTAATAAAACCTCTCCTTGGATTTCAGGGAACTCAGATGATCACATTATGCCAAAGAACAGTTAATGTGTACAATATTTTAACTTATCAAGGAAAGGCCAAGGCCACAAGACAGGGAAATAAATAACAGTGCTGGGCTAAGGAAAGGGAAACTAAGCAATAAAACAGACAAAAGAACTGACCAAAGTCATACAACAGATTAAGTTTAAAATCCCTGCCTTGGTATTACTATTCTAATAATAATAATAACAATAACAGAAAATGTTTGCATAGCACTCTAAGGTTTGCAAATAGCTTTGTATAAATACAATAACTCAGTGAGGCAGATCTTCTTTTAAGGATAATTATTTCCAGATAATAATAAAGATGAGGAAATATTAACAGATGAGGGAACTGAGGCACAGAAAGGGTATGAGACTTGCCCATGGTCACAGAGTTGTGTGAGGTATAATCTGAATCCATATATCTACCTAATACTGTATCATGCTGCTTCTCAGAAATGTCTAAGACAATGTCATACAATATAGTGGTGAAAAATGGGCCTTTTAAGGCAGTAGGGAACAGTAGGTTTATGATATAAATTCCTATGTGCTACTTTCTCAGTTACTGAAATAAAAGGCATAACAGGCCTCTAGTCTTCTCTATCTGACCACCCCTTCCACCACCTCATTCCGCAACCCGCCCCCCCATGGTTTTCTCAAAAGAAAGAAATATTACTATTAAAATTAACTAAGTATTTGCTGTCCATACCTTAAGAAACATTACACCAAACAGACCCAGGTAGGCCATCTGGATGATCTTAGCAGTTCACAAAGGTAAATAAAGATCCAAAGCCAGATCTTAAAAAAAAAGGGTTAAGATCCTTACACAATGAGGAAACCCAGGATAAGATTGTCAGCTCCAAATACATTCAAGTATTGTGCTCAATTACAAAGGAAAAAAAGTGGAAAGTTGACACTAGTGGAACTGGGTACTTGTTCCTGATGATGAAAAAGACTATAAGCTTCTAGCAATTTAGTATAATGCTAAAAATCAAGGGAATTCATAGAGAGAGTTGCCAATTTCTACAGCTGGGAACAGATGGGAGAATTGCTGCAGGTCCAGAGGTGACTCAGAGCCCTTAGGAGAGAAAATATAGAACCTAAGAATGATGAGAAGTGCTGATCTCATTGGGCCCTTTTAAAGAGCCAAATGCTCTGTTATTATTTGGTATTTCCATTACCCCAAAAGTACTTTATACTACTGAATCCAAGTCTTCCACCCCTTTCTGGCTGATTTAGAGAGGATAGAAAAGAAAAAAAACAAAACTGGTAGATACGCTCTAATGCCTGTTTCTTATTAGGGTGATTAGAGGGGAAGAAAGTATCTACTCCAAAAATCTAGATCTATTAATTCTCTCTCTCAAATTCTCTCTCTGACTCTCTCTCACAGACACAGAAATCTGATGTGATTCGCTTTTAAAACATAAATTAATTGGGATGGTATAATATTAAAATAATTCACACAAAGATGTTAGTGACTTTCCTCTATACTTGAGAGAATGGAAGCAACAAAAAAAAAAGTGAGAAAAAAAATACAGAAAAGGAAGTTTTAACAGGCATAAGGGTGTAGGGGGAGATATGAAGTCAGATTGTATTTACTTCACAATTTTGCCTAGAGCTGAGCCCCACTGTTTAATGGAAAGAGTATAGACAAGACAGAGAATAAATAACTGGGTACGTAGGTGTATATAATATACATGAATATACTGTTTACATGCAAACAGGGCTAAGGAAATAGGGTTAAGGAAAGAGACATTATCAAACAAAAATAAGAGCATGGACACCTTAGAAGAAATGTTACTGTTGGGACATAAAGAAAATTTCTGTCTGGACAGGAGAAGCAGGGAAGGGGTATAAAAAGAAAGGTAGTAAGATAACAATGAACAAAGAGAAAAAAGCCTAGTAAGGGAAGAAGTTCCACTGAGAATTATTCAGCTAAAGACTGTTTCTTTACAAGTGAAAATAGAAGCTCTACAGCTATATCCAGAAAGCTAAACTGTGAGGAAAGCACTTTAAGCATGGTCCAGGGATGAAATTCCCCACCTTGGATTTCTTCCAGAATGTTAGTTTATAAAACACTGAGACTCTAGATTTTAAGATTTTATCCTAAAGGTCTTCAGCTCCCTCTGCTGTTCACAAATGTCCTAATTTAGTTAGGTCAGACTTAAGAGACAAAAGAACATTCAAGTTAATGTTAAGGCTGACCCTTAAAATATATTGGCCATAACCATACATCTCTGGCTTGGACTGCTTGCCCAAGGGCATAAGCAATTACATTTTATTATCCAATAAGTTAATCAATTTGACAGTCAGATACTTCTTTCCAACAGAAAGAAAAGTAATTTTAAGGTCAGATTCTAAAGGAGTGAGTAAGCAGTCTTGCCACATTTGTTGCTACAATTTTGGTAGCAATGTTTTATTTTGTTTTTTCTCCAGGTATAGATCGATAATGTTCCTTTTTCCAACAACATAGACCTTCTGCATAACAGGAAATAAAATGGCACATGTTAAAGATCTCTCAGTTCTTGCCTTGTTTTTTCATTCCCCAGAATCTCCTTCAAGTAAGCCTCTCCGCATCTCTCTAAATTCCAGTTGATATTATCTAGGATCATAAGACTATGAGCAAGAATAGACCTTTGATTATCTGTCCACCCCCAACCATCCCCTCCCTTTTCCTCTTCTCATTTTACAGATGAGATAAAAATAAACCCTGAAGAGGTGAAATGATTTGTCAAGGAAACCGGTAAGTAACATCCAGGATTTAAGCCAGGTTCTCTGACCCCAAATTTAGTGTTATTTCACTTTTCACTACACCAAGCTGCGTTTTCCCATCCCAATGATATTCTGTGATGAAGCATTCAAACATCTTCCCACATAAGAACCCCGCACTCACCTGTTCCTTAAATTGCTCTTGAGGCAAGCAGTCATTCAGGTCCACACAACCTAGGAGACATCCTGATGGATAATCACGGGGAAATTCCAAATCTGAATCAAAAATATCAAAAACATTACATAAAATTCCCTCTTCTTCTGACAGTGTCCTCCAGAAACCTGTTATATTTTCCACGGGCAGCAAACTGGCAGTGTGGATAGAATGCCAGGCCTGGAGTCAAGAAGACTCATCTTCCTGAGATCAAATCTGGCCTCAGACACTGACTATTTCTTTGACCGTGGGCAAGTCACTTAACCTTTTTTGCCTCAGTATGCTCATCTGTAAAATGAGCTGGAGAAGGAAATGGCAAACCAGTCCAGTATCTTTGCCAAGAAAACCCCAAACGGAGTCATGAAGAGTCAGACATGACTGAAATGACTAAACAACAAACTTTTCCATTGTTATTTTCTTACTATGAAGAGTCAAGGAATTTGATGAGGTTTTTATTTACCACAATTCTTCTTTTTTTTTTAAGGAAAATCTGGTGAGTTCCCAATTTTATGTACCAGAACACAAACAGAGCTGACAATATTTTTCCTCTTAAAATTTTTTGTTTCCATTGGTATCTTGAATTTTCATGTTAATTACATTTTTCTAAATATTTTTCCCCTTCCCCCTTCCCAGAGAGCTATCCCTTATGACAAAAAGTAAAAAAGAGAAAAAATGCTGAGTAAAACCAACATAAAAAAAGCCTAACATTATGTTCAGTGTCCCATGCCCATAGTCTCCCACATCTCTACAAAGAAACAGGGGAAATGCCTTCTCCTAGGTCTTCTTTGGGGGAGCCTCTGTCATTATAATTTCTTTTTTTTTTTTTGGCTAGGCAATGGGGTTAAGTGACTTGCCCAGGGTCACGCTGCTAGTAAGTATTATGTGCCTGAGGCCGCATTTGAACTCAGGTCCTCCTGAATCCAGGGCCTGTGCTCTATCCATTGCGCCACCTAGCGGCCCAGGTCATTATAATTTCACAGCATACATTTTTTATCATTTTGTTGCTGTTGTTCTTTTCCATTTTCATTGTTGTAGTCATTGTGTACACCGTTTGGCTGGATCTCCCTATGTCTCTTTGTATTAGTTCAGCTGTGTGATCCTTGGTCACCGTACCCTGATTTCCTCATCTGCAAAAATGGTGGGAGGTTGGATTTGATGGCTTCTAAGGTCCGTTTCAGCTCCAAATGGATGGTTCTGTTATTCTAACATAATTATTTCAATACTTCTCTGTATTCTTTACATTTGTTGCCTTCTACAGGCAATACTGCCTACAGAACAGGACTATTCTTTTACATATATGTATCCTAAATTCCTTAGCCATTCTTGAATTGTTTCTAGTTCTTTATTACTACCAAAAATGCTGCCATAAATATTTTCTTGTACATGTGGCCTTTCTACTTATTATTGACCTCTCTAGAATATATGACTAAGCCAGTGGAGCACTGGGTCAAAGGATATAGTCAATTTAGTCATTTTCTTAGTAGAATCCCAAATTGCTTTCCAGAATGGTTGGATCAATTCACAGCTCCATGAAGAAGACATTAGTGTGCTTGTCTTTCCACATCAATATTTTTCCTTACAATCCTACTGTCTCACATACTGTTTAGTCTCTCGTTTCAGTAGTTCCAAATTTTCTCCCCATCTTGTCCCTCCCCCAACCTCAAGACAGCATGCATCCTGAATACCCTTTCCCCTAATCTGCCCTCCCTTCCATCTCCATGCCCCCCCCCTTCTCTTATCCCCTTCCTCTTCTATTTTCCTATAGGGCAGCATAGATTTCTGTATGACTCTGCCTCTTCTGATTTTTAAACCTGTTTTTCAGCTTAGTCCTGGACCTCTTTCTGCTTCTTCAACAATAATGGCAGAATGGCAGCAAATACTAACATTCTCACCATATTTAGACCATCTATAATTTAGCTACTGATAATCTAAATATGAGACCTTTTTCAAATGACCAATGAGTGGATACATTAAAGAAAGGATGGAGTCATATGAATCATGACATTTTTACTATAAATGAAACCAGAAGATAAAAGGAAGTTGCATTTACGTGAAAGGATGGATCAGAATTTCAGCCTGGGAGAATCAAGTGATGTAGTTGCCTTTGTTGTGCATTCTAGAACAAGAAGAAGCATCATTTCCTGGGTTACTTAGTGACCTCATATGGCAGTGCTCATGAGAAGAATCATCAATGTGATCACCATGAAAAGAAGTGCAACATCTGCATCAATGCCTGTTGCAAAGAAGATTGCAGAGTAATTCTAAAATTAATAATAAGACCCTCCAAATTAGGTCAACATATACATTAATACTCCATGACTTTAAAGCAAAGGTGACTTTAGTAGAAGAAGGTGAAAAACACAGCTCAGGAGTAAAAAATGGGAGGGACAAAGATTGGTAGACTAGGGTCATAGATTAGACAGAAATCTCATACTTTCTTTCAGAAGAGTTAGGGCATAAGATGTGATGAACGTCAATTAACATAATAAAAATTAAGTTAATTACATTTTAATGGCAAGGAAATGGCTGGTTAGAAACATAGAAGTAATTTTCAAATCAACTGTTTTGTGTTCAAAGAGGCCACTAACTTATGAGAGCAAAGACCACCATCAATACCATGAAAAGCTATGGCACACAATTGACCTGTTTAAATGAGCTGCTGCTGCCAAAAATGAGAACTAGATGAAAAAGCAAATATCGACATAGGCTACTACCTTTAAGGACATTTAATTGATTTAAATCAATCATCACAAGGCCAAAAAAGCAAAAAAATGGCCTCACCTAGCAAACCCTTATATCTCCCAGCAAGAAGAAAGATATGGCAGCCAGGGGGAACTTCAATGTAGAACATGAACTCATGTGTAAGCTCTTATAGAGGAGGACAGTAGATTAGGGATATTATGGCCTCATAAAACAGCATTATAGGAAAAAATAAGTTTTCAGAAAGCTTGGTGAAAGACTCAACTATGTCCATTCCAACAGCACTTAAGGATGAAATTTTAAGGATAGCAACAGGAAAAATAAATTTAAGGATTCTTATGGCAAACATCAGAGTACTTGATATGTTAAATAGGGAAACAGAAATACCACTAAAGAAAACAAAGATGGGTAGAATGAATGTTGAAGGTTTGTGTGTGAGGTGACACAATTTTTAAGGCACTAAGAGACAGATTCTCAAGGTATCACAAAGAGCAGGGGCAGCTAGGTGGCGCAGTAGATACAGCACTGGCCCTGAAATCAGGAGGACCTGAGCTTCAAATACAGCCTCAGACCAAACACTTGACACTTACTAGCTGTGTGACCCTGGACAAGTCACTTAACCCCAACTGCCTTAAAGAAAAAAAAAAGAGCAGAGGATACAAAAATTTTGGAAAAAATTGTGGACCTGTAAAACAAAAAAGGTGTCTGAGAAAACATAAACATCAACTCAAATGCCCACTTACCCATATCTACAAATTTTTCATAAGAATAATCTATACATGCATCAAGGGCATCATTGATAAAGGTATGAGAAGGGAAAAAGTAGATTTCTGTAAATGTTGTTACACAGTCAATCACATCTTTGTAGTCACACAACTGACTGAAAGATATAAAGGAACAAGATTCCACAGTGCTTACTTTTTAGTGATAATAAGGCTGCATTTGATTCAGTAAAGCAAACTACTATCTTAAAGGCTCCCACCTAAAAAGATGGAAGAGATTCATCATATGTTAATAACAGGTAACCTTTAAATAGTGCTTACAATGCCAAGACTTTACAATTATGTCATTTAATCCTCACAGAAATTCAAGGAAGCTCTTATTATTCCCATTTTACTGAGGCAAACAGAGGTTAAATGACTTGCCCAGGGTCACAAAGCTAGTAAGTTTCTGAGGCCAAATTTTACCTAAGGTCTTCTTGACTCTAGGTCCAGCACTCTATCTACCACATCACCTAGTTGTCCCTATGTTATTTTCTGGTGTATTTTTTTTTGTTGGGAGAGAGGGAGGCAATTGTGGTTAAGCGACTTGCCCAGGGTCACAAGGATAGTAAGCATCTAAGGCCGAATCTGAACTCAGGTCCTCCAGATTCCAGGATTGGTGCCACTGCGCCACCTAGTCGCCCATATGTTAAAATAAAACAAAATTTAAAGATGTCATCAGAGAGATATATGTCTGGAAAAGGGCACGCAATCATGAATAAGAGTGAGGGATAACCAATGAACAGCTCTTGTGCTTCATTATCAAGAGAACTAAAAAGCCCCCAGCACACTGTTTGGCCCTCTCGTGAAGGATTGATAAGATGATAGTCAAGATTCATGCAGGAGAGGGCATAGATGGATTGTTCTTCATATCACTTCAGAAGGTACTCACGTTAATAAGATCATAGACATATAGACATAGTGCAGCTCTTACCTCTTTTTTTCATATGAAGTGGGAAGTATTAAGGAAAAAAGAGTCCAAAAGATCTCAATGGCATTTTACAGAACCCAAAGCTACAATGTTTAGAGATTTTCACCTATTATCTACTGCATATGCCAACCAACTTTGCTTATTTGAGGGAGATCTTTCCCGTCCAAATGACTGTAGAGTTCCCAAGAGACGTTTTACTTTTACATCTCAAAGTTAAGATTATCAGCTTTCTCACACACCAAAAGGATACTCACAGATAACCAAGGTTAATATTTATTTCTGGCGTTCAAAGGGAACACTTCATTCATTCATTCATTCATTCATTCATTCATTCATTTATTTATTTAGGTGAGGCAATTGGGGTTAAGTGATTTGCCCAGAGTCACACAGCTAGTGAGTATTATGTCTCTGAGGCTGTATTTGAACTCAGGTCCTCCTGACTCCAGGGCCAGTACTCTATCCACTGTGCCACCTAGCTGCCCCAGGAACACTTTAAAGCATATTATTCGATAATATAACTCATAAAACAGTTGATCTTGATCTGCCCCAAAGAAAAGATTGTCTGTAGATAAACTTTTCTTCCATTCAGAAAAGAAACAATGGAAACAAATAAGAGTAAAGTGGAAATAAGGTGAAATAGTTAACTCAATTTTAACTAATACCCATCTCTACGACATTCACACAAAAGCAGGAAGTTACCTTTTCCAAGAAGAAGGCGATATGTATCCTGCAGTTCTGAGATTTCTTGAGAGGAAGGACTTTTGGCAGTTGCAGCTATCCATAGTCTTCCTCTGTGAGACGTGTACCAGGTTCTGCCCTCCACCCTAAATGAGATAAAAATTGGGCAAAAAAGAACTGATTTCCAGTTCTATGGGGATTCCACCAGTCTTGAATAAAGATTATCTAATCTGAGTAAGATTTGTTCAACTGCAGGCTTTTACAAAGTCTTGAATTGAGACAAAAATCTTGGCATACAAATCCTATAACAGGTACATTTTGTGAATACATTCTTATTCCACAATTCACTCTTGTTCTCATTTGTTCTCATGGTTTCTCATATCACCCATAAAAAAGACTTCTTTCCCAGGTAATCTCGTTTCTTCATCGAGTCACAAATGACATAGAGTATTCAAGACATCTATAAACCCTAACCCAAATCTTCCACTATGCACAAAATAAAAGTCCATCTTCTTGCATACTACATCCTTCCTCTATTTTGTGCTTTGTCTTTTTGGGGTTTTTTTTTGTCTTTAAGGTTTTTTTCATATAACCATATTTCCTCAAGTATCTTTCCTCCTCCTCCCTCCCAGAGAGGCATCCCATATAACATGTCATCTTTTTTATAGACAAAAAAAGAAAAAAAGGAAAAAACATCAGCATAACTAATCAATACATCAAAAAAGTATGAAAATACCTGCAATGTACCACACCAGTGACCCTTGAACCTCTGCAATGGGGTACAGTGGGAGTGTGGGTTCACATCTCTTCTTTCAAGTCCGGCTTGGTTTGTTTGGTTTTTTTTTGCAACATTCACTTTTGATTACTTTTGTGGGGGTTCTTTCCGTACAACAACTTACACTGCTGTACTCACTGTGCATAATGTTTGTTTGGCTCAGCTCAGCTTTACTCTGCATCAATTCATACAGATCTTTCCATGATTATCTATATTCATCACACACATTTCTTACAGCACAAAAATATTCCATTACAAGCACATACCACAGTTTGTTTAGCCATTTCCCAACTGATGGGCATCTACCTTGTTTTTAATTCTTTGCTATCACAAAAAGCGCTGCTATGAATATTTTGGTGTATATGGTGACGTACTTCTTATCAATGGCCTTCCTGGTGAATGAGCCTAGTAATAAATCACTGAGGTAAAGGGGATGGACACTTTGGTCATTTTATTTGCATCGTTCCAAACTGCTTCTCAAAATAATCGTATTGATTCAAAGCTCTACTAATAATGTACTAGAATGCTTATCTTCCCACAACCCCTCCAACAGCAACCATTTCCATCTTTTATCATCTTTGCTTTGCCAATTTGCAGATTGTGAGGTACAATCTCAGGGTTGTTCTAATTTGCATTTCTCTTATTATTAGTGACTTGGAGCATTCTTTCATGTGGTTGTTAATAGTTTACAAATCTTTTGAAAGCTGTTTCTTCAAATCCTTCGACCCACTTACCCCTTGGGAAATGGCTTTTGTTTCATACACACACACACACACACACACACACAAACACACACACATGCATGTGTGTATATGTATGTATATTATTTTAGATAACAAAACTTTATAAGAGAAATTTATACAAAAATCTTTTGCTTTTCTTTAAATAATGAAAGGCTCATCTCCAACTGGAAGTTTTTCTAACTACTTCTCTAACTTTCCTGCACAATAACTGATCCAAATGAAATTCCCTCCACCTCCACATATTTTTGTCATCATTTAATTTAGATATTTTTTCTTATTTGCTCTTTTAAAATGTAACCATAAATATAATAATTTCTATTATACTGCTACAATTCCTGCAGACATTTAAAAAATTTTATTAAAATGAAAATATTTTCCTATAGGCAGAGAAAAAAGAATGTACTCATTTTCTCTCCCATTCATATTCAAATATTTTACTAGTATGAAGGAATCATGAGGGTATGTTTTTCCTTCACTTTAACCAAAGGGGATACAATATTTCTGACAGTACTGCCCAAACTATTATTTGATACTATTGGAATTAGGATGGGTATAATGTTTTTGGCTTTCCGCTATTAATAAAGTTTTTGTGTTTCTGTTATGAATGCCAAATAGGGTCAAAGGTTGTGCCCTCCAGGCCTGAAAGTTCTCAAGGACTATACTCCTCTCCACAAACATGGCCAGAGTCATCAGTTTTATTTTTGTGGTATTAGTAATTGTGGCATTGGGTGCTGCTTGTTCTGTTCTTTTCAGTTGTAAAAAATGGCTGAATTAAATCCAAAATAGAATGAAACGTAAACATTCTGCCTTCCTCAGCAAAGAACAAGCTGTTCCGTTATTTACACTGGGAAAGGAAGACACCCACGTTCCAGAGAATGAAATGTGTAAAACAGACTTCTGAGGGCCTAGTCAGTCTGGAAAGCAGATGTAGACCCGCCAGTCCCTATCACAATGCAAAGGAAAGATGAAACTTTTAGTTAAACATATCTCCAGACACAAAATATCTAAAGAGTTAAGGGTAAGGGTGACAGGAACACTATACCCTAACCTGGCAAGGGAATCATAACCATTACGTTTTACTCTTGTCTTACGACCAGCAGAGGAAAAACTAATCACTCTCACTTTCTGGGAAGGATTGCTGAGGCAGCATAACGGAAAAAGAAATCCACTGGATTAAGAATCAAGAGAACTAAACTGTAGTTCCAGCTCTGCCATTTACTAGCTGTATCATCCTGGATATGTAATTTCATTTCTGCATCTCTGTTTTTTCAACTGTCAAATGAGGATAATAAAAACCTGAACAAACAACCCATAGGGTTCTTGCAAAATGAGATAATGATTATGAAGTGTTTCAATTAAATATTAAGATAATAGTATAGGAAGCCAGAGCTTCACCAGCAAAATATGACCAAACTCTAATACTGGGGTAAAGTCAAAACAAACATGAATTTCCACTAGGTCTGCCAGAAGTCCGTGGGAAAAAAAGTAAAACAGGAATGTCAAGGGGAGTCTGTGGGCAAGTCATTTAATGAAACGAAAGCACTGGACTAAATGACAACTTGGTTCCACTCCAATTCTAAATTCTATGATGATAGAGCCTCATCCTGTAATAACTCCCCCAAAGCACAGCTTTTTTTTTTTTTAAGAAAAGATATTCCAAAGCTGATTTTTTTCCCTCTTTTGATTAAAGCAAAAAATAGAAAAATACACAAAACTGGGTCAATTTCTCTCTCTCTCTCTCTCTCTTTTTTTTTCTGGCTAGGCAATGGGGTTAAGTGACTTGCCCAGGGTCACACAGCTAGTGAGTATAAAGTGTTTTGGTCTGAGGACGGATTTGAACTCAGGTACTCCTTTCAGGGCTGGTGCTCTATCTACTGTGCCACCTAGCTGCCCCAGATCAATTTCTTAAGGGAAAAAAAAAACCCGAAAGCTGAAGTGACAGGAACAAGTGTATAGGGTGCTGCATTATAGGCTACAAAAGCAAAGCCAAGAAAAGTAGGATTTTTACACCAGGAAAGTGATTGTACTCCATGTCCTTCCACTGGCAAAATCTGCCTCTGTGGGTTTCAGTTTCTCTGTCTGAAAAATGTAGAGAGCGGTACCTAGAAATCATCCCACTGTGTTTAACACAGTCAGTACAGCAATTGGAGCCCCTCCAAAAGAATTATGTAATGGACGCTACTGGGGATCACTAACGGGCTGACAGCAGAAAGATAGCTCTCAACCAACTTCAATACAGTGATTACTTTTTCCTAGACGCCATATTACCTTTTAATGCCCCTGACAAGCAGTGAGGCCCAGGGCTGGTGCATGCTGAGGCACCAACCATCATCAGAGATTTCCTGAAATTCTCGGTCCTGAATTCGAAGACGGCTCCTCTCCGAGCTGAGCTCCAGATTAGAACCTGCTGAAAGAAGAGTCTTCTTCTGTGGGGCTGAGCTAGTCTGGTCTACCCACTATATAAAAAAAAAAAGGTGAAAGTGTAAGATTTAAGTAAGTAACTGGAGGTGTGGTAGCCTCTGATGATCTTTACATGGGTCAAAAAGTTAATAAAAAACTGGATACTTGAGGCAGCTAGTTGGCACACTGAACAGAGTACTGGCCCTGGAGTCAGGAGGACCTCATTTGAAATCAGGGCTCAGACACATGATACTCACTAGCTGTGTAACCCTGAGCAAGTCACTTAACTCCATTCACCTTGCAAAAAAAAATTAAAAAAAAAAAAAACACAAAATACTTGTCATGGAAATTACCAACCAAGTCTCAACTCTAATAATAAAAGGGATCATACTGGGAATAACTCCGAGAAATTTCTATCTTATTTTTGCCTAATGAGGATAAGATGTAGATGGTACATACCTAATGGAAATACAAGAGTCTCATCTAAAAGCCCATCATTCCCTTCTCATTTTTAAAGGTAGTATACTATATGCAAGTGTCTGTGTCAGCTGTTAGAGCAGCTTATAGGAGTTACAGCAATCCCTTCAGAAAGCAATATGGCAACATACAAGAAAATTTACAGATCTGATTATACCTTTTGACACAATGTTGGCTAAACTAGGAAAATGGATGAATAAACAGTGACATAATTGAGAAGACAAAATATTATTACACATTAGAAATGACAAATATGAATATAATAGCCAAAATTCAGGGAAAAATACAAAAGAGTTTAGAAAGATGCACAAACTTTAACAAAATAATAATTTTTAAAAATTGTTAATAGTTTAGGGTTTATGGCTTTATGTATGATATAAAATTTTTGATTGAATGCTTACATTTGTTAATGTTAACATATGATTACAGAGCTCATTGGATGTGGAGCCAATGATTTTTGGCATTAAACAAAGGGTTATTAAGTTTAGAATTTTAAAATTATTCCCCAAAAGTCCCTGCCCTAGGCCCCCTGCCTCTAGAGAATAGCACATCTGTATGAAGATCAGGACTGCTGGAACTATTTCCATTTCCTATATATCAAAACGATGAGACTGCTTGGTTCTGTACAATTTCCCCCAAAACTAAACCACCTAAATGAAGATTCAATATTCTGGCCCACATGTCTCTTCTTATACAAAAAGATAGAGCCACACACTTACATTATATGTGCTAAAACCAAAGAAAAATGCAGCAGCTAACCATCTGGTCTCATAGGTAAAAAGTTATTTAAAAAAAAAAATTTCCTGCAATGCCAAACATGTGCTGAGGCCAACAGTAAGTCTAGACAGAAAAAAGACCTAGAATTCCCTGGTAAAGGAAACTACCAAGTAAGGGGACTTCCTCTACCAGTGTAAGTTAGTGTCTTCCTTCTCTACAACTTAGGGTCTTAGAGTTGTCTGGGGCACTAGGAAGTTAAGTGACTACCTCAGGGTGACACAGTCAATATCTATCAGTGGTAACCCAGAATTTTATGGTTTCCAGGCCAGCTCTCTATAAGCCCTTCTTATGTGCCAGGAACTGAACTAGGCACACAGGAAACAAGGACAAAGAATAAAACAATCCCCACGCTCAAAGAGTTAACATTCTAATGAAGGAGACATCAAGTACACATAAAAACATATAAAATTTAAATAAAAAGTGAATAAATATAAATATATACAGAGTATTTAAATAAAAGATAGTTTAGGAGGGAGAACAGTTGGAGGGATTCAGAAAGAGCTTCATACAAAGATATCAAAGACATACACACATCAAAGAAAAAATTGAAGCACAGTTACTCATATCTCTATTGAGATTAATAAGCCCCACTTCTCCTCAGGGAAATTGAGATGATAATATAAATGAGGCATCCAGAACCACAAGACAAGCCCAGAGGAGGATGGGCAAGAGAAGAAAGCTATACGCAAACAATGAGAGTAAAGCACGTGACATCAAAAGTATCAGGAGACATTTCAGCCCAACCCTCTCTCATTAGCAGCCAACTGAGACATGTACTCACCAAGGGTGCAGGCTGGAGCAGATGTGGATTCACTAGAACTCCCAAAGGCTTTTCAGACGATCCTTCTAGTTTTGTTATAGACTTACTCAAGGCTCCAGAGTTAATAGCCTGTATTGTCTCATCCAGTCTGTAATAACAAATCAAAAGAGCTAGGTAATTATTAATCGTAGCTGATGTCCACAATCCCTCAGTTCTTTTCTTAGTCTCTCCCCACTAATTTAGCTATCAACTATCAATATATAACCTTTTAGCAGTGAAATCTAGATTTCTAGGAACCATCTATCTTCTTTTCTTCCACTTTTCAACCCATACCTCCACAGTCCCTAGTCAACCTCAGTTATGTACAAATCTAAGGACAGTTTAAAAAAAATTAAAAAGGGCATTCCACAGGTACCCATTGAATGGGTGGAAAGATAATTATTCTCAATGGTAAAATAAGAAGAAGAGTATCTGGATTCCAAAGAATATGCCATTCTAGGCAAACTGGTTTATTTGTCCAAAGAAGCCAACATGCCTTTTCACTCAATTATACCTTCTGAGAAAATCATCCCACTACTTTAGAGATATGAATCCAAAACTCACTGACTTCAAATCTCCATGAAGCCTTTCCAGATATTCTCAGCTCACAGCTATTCCTCCTTCCCTACCTATACCACTAACATATTTATACTTTGTACTGTTAGACATCTATATTTATATCTATATCTACATATACATAGTCATCTACACATGTATATATAAATCTTGTACTTATGTCATTATATATCATTTATATATGTCATTATATGTCATAAAATAACAAATATGCACTATATGTATATATGTATGTATACATACACACACATATGTACATATATATGAAGATATGATTATAAAGTAATGAAACATGCAAAAGAGTATGGCTTGTGCAACTACTTTTATTGCTTTGTCACCAAATAACTTAGACTGCCTTTCCAACTAGACTATAAAAAGAAACCACATTCTTCTTTGTATTCCAATGGGTGCTTAAAAACATGTCCTGATTATCAAAAAAGCTTTCAGCTACAATAAAACATGACTGGTCAGATCAGTCATGTCCCTCAAACCTTTCCCTGAGTTGCCCACTCACTTATTGTGATAGTCTGTAAGGGAGTTTTGCTCTTCTAGAATCTGCCTTCCTGCAAAGTCAATGGTAATCTTCTTAGAGAGACGGGAGGCATGGCGCAGCTCTCGGAGTTCCTGCTCCTTCTTCTGCAGAGCTTCCCGCTCCACCTTGGATAGCCATTGGTTGGAATCTGTGGCAAAGTAGTCTGATTCATCATCAATGACTTGAGTCCTTCGAACACTAAGGCAAGAGAGAGCAGATGGCACCATGAGCATGTTATCATAAAGGATATGATTTTCTGGCAATTGTCCAAAGTAACTCATTTATTACCATCACTCACGATACACTATGGCATCCCAGTATGACAACTTGAAGTATAGTTACCTAAATTCTAAAACAAAAACAAAAACGAAAAGCTCCTCTTTAAGGTGATGGTACCAGAAATTTTTGGAGCCAGAAAGGACCTTATAGAACATTTACTCTAACCCCTACATTTTATAGATTAATAAACTGAGAGGTAAAGTGACTTGGCTAATGTTACAGAGCTAGTTAGAGCAGAATGACTTAGTGATATATGCAGATTTAACAAAAATATCATCACTACAAAATTGGAAGCCTGAAAAATTTAAACTTTAAGGAAGTACTTCCCAAACTGAGTATGTGTGTGTTAGAGATGTCCATGATTTATTTTCCATTATCCTTCCCAGATCTAAAATCTGGAAATGAATTTTAGAAGCTGTCAGAAGAAAACTTACACTTCCAGAAATTGTGAAGCTTTGTTCCTTTTATTTTGACTCATTCAAATTTCTTAATCTCCCCTTAAAAATAAAGACTAAAGCCAGCCAAAGCACTTTTCCAGTAAAGTCATACTAAAACTATATTACTATATTTCACACCTGGAGCTACCTAAGTCCCTTTGCCCAGGACAGTGGAACAGTACTTTCTTGGTCCCTACTTCTCAGGAAATACACACCTCATACAGCACTGAATTATACTGTCAATGAGTAAAACTAAATCTGACACCCACAGTTGCAATCCCAATAAAAGATGACAGTAAGTATGGAACATAAGCATGATAATAGTCCTCCATAAAAGATTAAACAAAAAATTTAATATTCCTCCCATAATGGATTTTAAAGCCAGAAGAAATAGTGTTCACTCGTAAAGATGTGTTTTCTGATTATTTCTCCGGTATTTTTGACAGATGGCTCTGAATCCAAGCTGAAGTTTTCAGATGGTCAATGCTGCATTGCAAAGAAGACACTGCTGGCAACAGACTACTAGGCCAGGTAGGACCAGGAAGAGACCTAGGAAGGATTTGCTCAGGAAGCAGTACAAGTGACTCTAACAGATAGGTTCTAAGTGGGCTGGCTGCCTGAAGGGGGAAGGGTACACTCTGAAGCATTCTCTACTATTAACTCTGTTTAAAATAAGCACTTGGCCAAAAGTAAGAGAGAATGAGAAAAGCAGCAATCAACAACTAGAAAATTCAAAAATCTGTCTCCAAGGAGAAATAATGAGAACTGTCAGGGGGCCAAATAACAGTGTAGGAGTCAAGAAGCCAATCTTTGTACAATTTGATTTTTTTAATACTGAATCAGAGACCAAGATTCCACCAGGGATTCATGACTTCTCAGGGCACCGCTTTTTTTCAATATCTCAACGTCTCACAGAGTTTGGTCACTCTATGTTAGTTTAGAAGTGAAATAACTTAGGAAATTCAGTTTGCTTCACTAGGATAAAATACAATCAACTCCAAATTATCAGTATAATCTGCCTTCTTTCAGGAATATTTGTGAATAATAAAAAATAATAATAAAAAAGTTGGAAGGGCAAAAGAGTCTCCTTCACCTGGTTGAAGGTGTACACTACATCCATATGGGTCAGAAATAAAATATCAACTATCTTTGTATGCATGTGCCCAACTCCACTCTAATGAAAACTGTTTCATGATCTACAGCCAGTCAGTTATTTGCTAAGTGATCTTATTCCATGAGATATTTGTACTCAAAGACAGCCAGCATCGGTTTGCTTCTGTTTATTCACTCATATCAGCTGTTCCACCAAAAATCATACCTGGTTCTGTCAAACTCTAGCAACTTGTCTTTATGCTTTACAGCCTTCTCCAGACCAGTCTTAACCCGAGATTCCTGATGAGGAAGCAGATCCTTGTTGAATACATCAACCTTACCAGGACTCTCTGTTCCTGTAAGGCAACAAGAAAAGCAACAGTGTCAATCATCAACACAAACTTAATAACAATCATCCCAGTTCACCCCACAGCAAGACACCAACGGATTCTGATCTCTTCTAGATCTCCAAAAGAATTCACTTCATTGAAAAAAGAGCCAGAAATTAAATCAAGCTTTATGAACCCTAGGCATGAAGTTCAAGAAGATACTAAACAATTTAACAACATGAAATGCAAAGTTTCAATAAGTAACGAGTTGATGATCATATAATTACATTAAAATTTTGTTAAATATTTCACTTTTGTTTTTTGAAAAGAACAATGAATAATAGAAGAAGTGGGTACAGGTCAGTGTCAGAAGAAAATACCACAAATATGCACTTCCCCAAAGAAGATCATGTGTCCCAATAAGACTAAGATTCAAAAAGGTACATGGAGGGGAGGAAGAAAAGGCATTTGCTACAATGAAAACCAACATCTTTCCCTTCCCTTTATACTCCAAGCTTGCACAAAGTCTGACTAGTTCTCTCTTGTAAAAGGATTTTTCATCTTTGACAATGCCATTATGCTTTGGGTAAAAGCAAACAGGCTAGAAGAGCAGTAAAGACAGTGTGCTCTTGGTGCTGGCCTGTACAGGGTAGCCATTCAATAAAGTATGTTGAAGGAATGAGTGAATGAACAATTTGTGAATCACAAAAATAGCTCAGTCCCATCCTGCACACCTGGATGCACCAAATGGACAATAATAACAAGATCCATCCTTCACTAGAACTATCATAAGATGACTGCGAACCTGCCATGAGCTTCTTCAGAAGCTTCTGGCTCTTGTGTGAATCACGCTGCAGAATGTCCTGTTCTTCTCGAGTACACACCTACAGCATAAAGACATGGTGACAGAGATGGACAATTTAATGAACTTTGCTGTTTTCTTGTTACACTAAACAACTAACCTTAAACTACACAGAAGATGACAGTTAAAAATGCACATTCCACAATTCATACATTCAAATGACTTCTTCCCCTTTGAAATAGAGGCTATGTGCCTATATTGATGTTTTTATTGCTCAAAGCCATTTCTAAACTCCTTTTTCAGAACTGTTTTCAAAGTCAGTGTATGAACCATGCAAGAAAATTAATCTCGTGGCCCTACAGCCACACACCATTTAAGATCAAAACAGCAATACTTCTTGATCATCAGACTTACTCAACAGACCAAAGGCCAAGTGACTTTTAAATTTAAAAACAAAACAAATTCACCCTAAAAATATTAAGCTTTCTGACCACCGAAGATATTAAAAAACAATGTGCCATAGGCTCTGAACGCAATACAAAAAGATTAAATTCAAGAAATGCTCTGAGCAAAGGCAGTAATGTTGCAATAGGTTCTACCAAAATAGCTAAATTTAAGGAAACCTAACACTGATTTGGTTATATAACTTTTGTTGTGCTTTTCTTTAAAAATGACATTAGCTTATGTAGTTAGTGACAACTCATACATCTAACTTTGAAGCTTCTAATTTTAGAGTGGCTTTTAAATCAATCCTACAAATGAACTGGGAGGAGGTCCTGAGGTCGTGCCAGAAGAGACAAAGAACAGAAGCAAGTAACAGGGCCAGTCATAAAAGCTGCATTAGTAAAAATTTATACAGTACTCTAAAATTTGCCAGGTACTGTATATGTTATCTCATTGGATCCTTTCAACAGCCCTGTGATGTAAGTACTACAGGGTAGCATCCTCATTTTATAAAAAAGGAAATTGCAATTCAGAAAGTTTAATAAATTGACCATGGTCACACAGGAAGTAAGTAGTAGAGGAAAGACAGAGACTAAGGTGTCTCCTAACTCTAAGTCCAGTTCTGTTTCCACTACACCATGTTGCCTCCACCAATGAAAAAAAAAATCATACTAGATTCTTTGCCTTCAGGCATCCTACTTAAAAAACATTTGGACTGATCAAGTCAAATGAAAAGCTGTGTTTATTACAAATGCACTGTAACTGTAATAAGAAAGGCTGAGAAAGGCTTAGTTAAAAAACAAAATTCTATGTTGAGCTCGTAAAAAGCTGCAAGGAATCAGGCAAATCTGCTTTATATTATCCTGCTTCCTGAACTAGGAGATCCGTGGGACCTATCAGTAGACAATGCACCTCCCGGCAGCTGCTTCCCCCGAACACAGAGCTCCTGCCAGGAGCCGCAGGGTATTTCTCGAGAGAGAGAAGTCCATATGGGAAGAGACTTAGCGACATTTCATAAAGAATTTTATTGGTAGGCACTATATTTTTCCAATGAATGACTGGATATAGGTGCGTTCTCCAGGAAATAGGGGAAAATAGGAGGAAAGGAAAACAAACCTATCTTAATGCATGTCCTCCTCAATAATGCCATATGCCACAGCTGCCACCCACCAGCAGGACTAGCAGATCAATAGGCATTGCCCTTCAGTTCTTTGTTAGAGTCTTTGTGAGAAAGCCATTAGTTCCACGTTCCTGAGGTCATTCTCCCAGAAACAGCTGACAAACATTTCAAAGCCGTACTAGTGAACTTCCCAGGGAGGCAGTGGCTATAGTGCGCTTAAGATTACATCATAATGACACCAATGTGACTACTTCTTCAGGAAAAACAATGGTTAACATCTGAGAACTGCAACAAACAATGCTCCCACTTTTATTGCTGTAAAGTTCTCCAACTATAAAAGAAACTGATGCAGACTCTGATCTTTGAATAATCTGCCACTTGAAAAGCTTACAAATTATCAGCATCAGCATTAGGACAGAGAGACAGAGAGAGAGAAAGACTCTCTAGGAAAAATTAGCCATAACAATATACATATGGCTCAATAAAACCAAAGTTGAAAGGAAATATTTACCAGAGATCCACAGAACAAACAGGGTCCAGAACCCTCTTGTTCACAGACAATCCGCCCACAGATCAGACAGTTGTTGATGAGCTTGTGCTTCTGGGCCAGACAATCACAAGGGTGTCGTCCTGGAAGGAGAACAGCAAGCCTGTCCTGTCCCTCTGTTGTATACAAGTTAACATACTTTGTCTTCTTCTTTGAGGAATTGGTGATCTCCTGTGCCTAATTTTCAAACAGGAAAAAATGGCTTAAACACCTAACCAAAAGCCATAATAGAAATCAGGCAAAAAAAGAAACCTCTGCCCAATGAACTACTCTGAACCTCATCTCCCATATATTTCTCAGAAACTGAAAATCATTTTCCACCAAATTCAAGAAGGAAATTATCTAGATAAGAAAGTTTTCTAAAACCCAGGGTTTGAGGAGGGGTTAATTCTTACAGAAATTAGTTAATAAGTGCCCTTCATTGACAGTTCCCCCTAGGTTTACTGATGGATGGTAACCTGAAAGTCAAAGTTCTAAGCATTACCTCTTCATGCACAGGAGAACTAGATTCTCTTAACTAGCTAAATAGGTGATCACTGAAAACGAATTCCTTTAAAAGCAGATGATATTCATGCATATGAAAGACAAGCATATAAATCAAAGGTAATGATGAACTCTGAAACATCTCTTCAAATCTGCGGCATAGAGCTCTGTGGAAGTCTCCACTATTATTATGCTGTTATCCTTTTCATTTCTTTCCCTTTTAAGTCAGTAGTTTTGAAATCAAACTCTTTATCTCTAAGAGCCCTTATAAAACCTAAATTACTTCTGACATTTGGGAATGTAATTATATCAAAGAAAACTCTTTGGTGACTATAATGAGATGTCACACTCCCCACTTTCCAAGCAGAAAGGCAGGGTTAGTTGATTTTTCTCTCTCTTAAAAATTAGGTACAAAGATGTCCTCCAGAAGACAACTATATCCTCAAGGAGGTAAGACTGAAAATACCGTTTTAAACAAATTGATGTTTACTCACATTCATAATACAAGTTTTTCAAAGAAGGACAGCAGTGTACATTAATAAGATCTTACTTCTCAGGGATTTGCAAAGTCCCTCCAAACATGCTGAAAAAATAAGTTGTTTTCTTATGTAAGGCAGAAATCTGTGTTTTTGCCTCCATAAAAAGCCAAGCCAATCAAGAAGTATTTATTAAGTAACTACTATGTACTGATCATTGTGCTACTACTAGGGATGCAAAGGTCAAAAAAAAAAATCTCTGCTTGTGAGGAAGTTACATTTCATTTCCACAAAATCAAATGCTACTTTGGGTAGGAAAGGACAATTTTCTGTGACTTTCTGAATGGAGTAAGCACTCAATTATTTGTTGAACATTGCAATGAATGAAAATGAAGCAAAGCCTGTTTTCATAGCTTCTCTCTATTTCATATTCCTTTATATATGCTCTAGAGATCTGAAACAGAATTGAGCAGGCATAAATTCCCAGGTAAACGGTTTTGCTCTCATTAGCATTTCTAAAAGCTATCAAATGATCTGTATCCCAACACATCCCTAACCAAGAATCCTCACACTACCTCCCAACAAGCTTTAATTCTTAGTTTAATTATTTTTGGTCTAATTTCTCTTCATATATATTTAACCCAGCTTTGGGAGTTTTCTTTTTCGCTTGTGTGACGCACTGTGTTACTGTGAATTCTAAAACTAACACATATACCTATCTCTCATTAGCATACTGTCATATTTTCAGAAAGGCAACAAATTTATAATGAACTCTAAACAACAAAACATATTCAATACTATTTATATTTTCAAAATCAATTTCAAAATACAAATTCCTTAACAACTTATCATGGGATCATAGATTTGGAGCTGGAAGGGACCTAAGAGGCTATTTTGTCCAACCCTCTCACATGGCAGATGAGGAAACTGAGGCCCAAATAGCTTAAAGTGACTTGCCCAAGATCTCACAGGTGGTGTCAAAGGAATTACTTTAACCCAAGTTTTTACCGTTCTCTTTGTGCATTTACTGTACATATGTTTTCCCTTTTATACAATTATAGTTAATATAAATACACACACAGTTTTACTCTTTCTATTTCCTATATTATTTCATACAAGTTCTTTCCTATAGTACATTTTGAAAGTATGACTTAAATACATTAGTTTTAAGGAATATTAAATTCAGTCTAGGAGGAATGATTTCTTATAGGTTTCCAAAACCATGTGGTATCCCTGAGGCAAATCACTTTTCCATTTTTTTCTTACAATGCTTTTAGACAAATCTGTCTACCGATTACAAAAATACAGCCAAAGATAGAAATGTGATGCATTTCTAAAACCACTACACAAAACCTATATTCTCAAGCCATCGGGTTGAACACATCCCTGATCAATAATCTTCACTATTACCTCCCAAGAAGTAGTCATCTAATCTTCACTTGAAGAGCTCTAGGGAGAGGGAGCCCATTTGTTCCCCAAGCAGTCCAAAGACTGCTTCTGTATAACTATTGTGAAGTTATTCCTCATAACAAGTTGAAATTTGCCTGTTTGAAACTTTTATGAATTGCTCTTAGTTCTGTCCTCTGGGACTAAGCAGCACAAATCTAACACTCTTCTACAGGACAACCCTTAAAATAATAAGGACAGGTATCATGTGCCCCATTGTCTTCTCTTCTCTAGAATAAACACGCCCTATTCTTTTAACCTTATGGCATAGGAGTAACCCATTACTTCATTATATGAGTCAGTCACCCTCCTCTGTGCACTATCTAGCTTGTCAATGTTCTTCCTAAAATGTGAAAGCCAGAAATGAATACTACTCCAGCTATGGTGTGAATGGGGCAGAGTAGAGAAAGACTATAACCTCTGCCCTGGCATGTGAACAGCATGCCTCAGAATAAGCCCTGACTACATTAGCTTTTTTGACTAGTATTTCACACTGCTGATTCATACTGAATTATCAATCCATGATTTTTTTCAGATGAACTATTATCTAGCCATACCTTTCCCACTTTGCTCTCGTGAAGCGGGTATTTTTTAAACTCAGTTGTAAGACTTCACATTTTTCCTATTAAATTTTATCTTATTTCTATTCAGCCCATCAATTCTGTATCTTTTTGGATTCCTATTCTGTAACAAATTTAAGATATTGTAATTTGATATTTATTAAGTATGCCATCTCTCCTTCATCCAAATAAATGACAAAAATGTTGAACAGTACATGGCAAAGACAGATGTCTGGAATTCTCAATTGGAGATCTCATGTCAAAGTGACATCAAGCTATTAAATCTTGTGGTCTAGTCATTTAACAAACATCAAGGGGCAACTAGGTGGCGCAATGGATAGAGCATCGGTCTTGAAGTCAGGAGGACCTGAATTCAAATCTCGGGTCAGAGCAAACACTTGACACTAGCTGTGCGACCCTGGGCAAGTCACTTAACCCCAACTGCCTACAAATAAAAGAAAAAAAAAAACATCAAATTTATTTATCTGATCATCTAACCCACATTTTCCTATCTTGTTGAGAGGTTTCCCAAATGCTTTATTGAAATCTAGGTAAACTATATCTAGAACATTCTCCTGTCAAAAAAGGAAATGAGGTTAGTTTGGAATGACCAAGTATCAATAAAGCCATGGTGAAATATAATGATTACTATTTTTTCTAGATGTTCACAAGAGATGAAGAGATGCCTCTTCCATGTGTACTGGTAAATGAATTTATTAGTAAATGGTAAATGAGTGATATCACTCAGCAGGTTAGGGTAAAATAAGAGAGTCAATCAAAAGCTTAGGGAATTACAATAAACTGAAAAATATGAATAGGTTGGCATATATGGACCTTAGGTTCCATGGCTCATCACTAATTAAATGCCCATACCTTAATATCATGGTTGAGTCTAGTGTTCAGTGCTAATTTGAGGAGAAATAATAATAAATCATCATTTGAGAATAGAAAGAGACCTTAAAGATCATCTAGTCTAATCCCCCTTACTTTATAAATAAAAAACCTGGGGCCCAAAAAAGTTAAATGACTTTCTCAAGGTCATACAGCTAGCAACCTCAAAAAGGCGATTAATAACTAAATATTTATTGAACATGCTCTCATAAATATTAATGCTGTTTCCTGAAAGCATTTCAAGTTCTTTTCCTTAGAAATCTCTTGGGGCAGCTAGGTGGCACAATGGATAGAGCACCGGCCCTGAAGTCAGGAGGACCTAAGTTCAAATCTGGCCTCAGACAAAACCCTTGATATTTACTAGCTGTGTGACTCTGGGCAAGTCACTTAACCCCAACTGCCTTAAAAAAAAAAGAATGACAGTAGAAATCTCTCATCCATATAATGATCTGGTCTCATGTCTCTGAATTTGTGTCTGTATGTGATCCCCATTTCAATAAACAATAAGCATTGATTAAGTGCCTATAATGTGTCAGGCACCGTGCTAGGTGCTGGATAATCTAGCTGATTAGAGAGCTAATAACCTAGCAATTACATTTAGTTGGTACAGTCAAGTACCATACCCATATAAAGAGGGTTCTTTAATGATTGGTAGTTTTCTGCCTTCCTACCCTCCCCCCACCAATATACATGGATCTTTTTCATTTAAAAAGTAACACTTTAGAATAGGGCTTCTTTTTTTCTATCTCAAATTCTACTAGCCATTGCCTCTACTTCTCTATACTGTAGAGCTCAGTATAGACTTCTTTCAATGAGCACTCACCTTGGCTAAATCAAGTGGTGTTTTGACTTCCTCTGTAGTTGATTCAGGTTCAGCAAATGCAGGAACCTCCTGCTTGTTTCTTCCCTTGCGCCTACCTTTCTTCAACTGGTCCCCAAGTCTCTGGCCATCTGAAATCTCTAAAGTACCATATAGACAAAAACAAGAATTATTCGACAACTTTTTATGGATAATGAAGGGAGGCAATGGGAAATAGTAGAAAGAGCACTGAATTTGGGAATGCTAGAATTGGAGACCAGGGACCTAAATTCAAATTCCAGTGCTTCCCCTTGGGTTACTCACATAACACTGGGCAAGAGGGGAGGGAATTAGATGGCCTCTAAGGTCCCCTCCAGCTCTAAATCTACTATCTTATGATCCTATAAGACATAATAATGCTCATCTATTTGGGCAAGGAAATTAAAACAAACAAAAACACTTTTTTTGTTGTCTGTTGCATGACCCTCAAGCCAGTACAATAATTCATTTCATTTGTTGCGGCAGGTAGGTGGTACAGTGGTTAGAGCACTGGCTCTGGAGTCAGTAGAATTTGTGAGTATAAATGTGACTTCAGACACTTACTAGCTGTATTACCCTGGGTAAGTCACTTAACTCCAATTGTCTTCTCTCCCCCAAAAAAAGATGTATATTTGTTAAGCAATACCAATTTACAAAATGCTAAAAGGAAATATTTCCAGTTACAGGTTTATAATTAAAAAGTTTAGTTAAAAACATAATATATACTATATAACAACAGCTTACACTATTAGTGAGTGCATCATTCACATGTTGTACTTTATAAGTAAATGTTTGCTTCTACATGGTATTCACATCTCAAATGATTAATCATTTGCCCTTCACCCAGATGAGCACACAGGTGAACATGTTAGTTTCATCTCATTTAAGTGTGTTTCATATGTAAGGGTAGTCATTTTAAAAATGTTCTTAAAAAAAGGTTTGGGGTTTTTTTTTTTACATATTTCAAATGTAGCATTTATCAAAGAAAATAGGTTTGTCTAAATATCAAAGATAAGTGAAACAGAATTAAACTAAAACATATAATTTTGATGTTATTTTTTGGACAATGAAATGGATCTTTTAAAGGCTTGATTGTCACAGAGGTGACAAGAACATTGTCCATGCTTGGGAGACCTGCTTCTTAATTATATAGTTTAATCTCAGTTCCCCTGCTCTATCACCCCTTTGGCTCACCATCTCTTTTTCTGTATATCTGCAAAGGATCAGAAACTGAGTCTTGATAATTCTTTTGCCACTTGGTTATAAGATCTTCTATGAACTGGCCTTTTTTGCCCTCATTTCCTTGGAGAAGATCAGTAACATATTCTCGTATCTCTTCAGCATCCTCAATTGACATAACATACCTCAGAAATCAAAGAGAACAGTTGGTGAAAAAAGGGTTTGGTTTCTAACATATTAAATATCAGATTAATGTTTATTTTAATCTATATGTATACCAATTTTCTCTCTCTCTCTTGAATCAGTGAAGAAAAAAAGATTGGTGGAGCTATGCTTTGTTATACTAAAATAAAATTTCCTATAATTAGAGATCTGGGGTCTGGTCTTTCCTTGAAACCAAAAAAAAAGTGCACCATCTCTGAATTCATAGTTTTCAGATTTCATGTGAAAGACATAAAAATACATCATACTGGATGAGTTGCTCACTCCACACTTTTAAATTCTAAATCAAGGATAACATTTTATTAGGCACAAGGAGGACTATCATTATTATCATTTACATATAGCTAACATTTATAGAATTCTGTATAATTTACAAAGTGCTTTCAAGTACATGATCTCATTTGGTCCTCACAACAATCTTGTAAAGTAGTTAATACTTCAATGAATCTCTGATCTCATCAATTTGTATACTCCCCCAATAGCAGAGTTTAAAATGCAACTGTACTTTATCCTGTGTTACTCTTATATGTAGTCTCCAGTAAACTCTCTGCAGGAGGTCTACCAATATGCTGGGGTGTTTCTTTTAAGTCTCTTGACATTGTGTGAATACCAGTAGAATAAACCATCCATTTTGTTATCCCTGACTGAGTTCATGATTATCCAGTCTCCTTTTCCAATATAAAGCTTTTTCTTAAGATCTGTTAAGCTGCTTTTTGCACAAAATTTATCATTGATAATGTTCAGCATATATTTCTTTATTGCCAGATGCATGACCTGCAATTTTTATTCTTTGGAGATTGTGGTAAGTAGTCCATGAATCATATAGCATCCATAGAAGTAAAATGATGTTAAAAATATGGATTTTTGTTTAGGGAGAAGCTCGAGTCCACTGAAAGCACTGCAGAATTTCCTGAAAGCCTTCCAGCTCACTTTCTTCTTCCCACCCAATTCTAGGCTCAACCAGTTCATTGTCTATTTGTAATATCTATCCATGACATATATCCTAATATACCATTTCAATGGACCATGTAGCCAATAGCACATCAGAGTCTGGAAATTAGGCATTCCTCATCTACTCATGTTTTTCCTGAGTGACTTTTTAGGCCAAATTCTTTTAAATAATAGCATTTAGGAAGTTTTGCTACGTAGCGATGCTTGATTCAACTGATAGATCATCTTCAAATGAAGACATTTGGAAGATGCTCCCACCTATGCCACCTTTCACTTAGGCTCTGTGCTAGATTTCCTCTACTATATTAGCAAGCCTAAAACTCCCTGTATTATGCCTTATTTAATATTAATAAACAGAAAAATGAACAAAAGTATCTCTGTTGCCATGTCTATCAAGAAATCTTGTATAACTTTAACATGCATATGAGGTACTGCTAATATTATTATCCCCATTTTACAGATAAGGAAACTGAGGTTTACGGATAAGAAAACAGATTAAATAACTTGTTCAAGGTCACAAAGCTAATGAGTGGCAGATCTTCTAACTTTGAGTCTGGAATACTTTACTATACCCCCGTTTTGTTCACTCAGCAGATGTGTATATATACTCTTTAAAAATTAAAATCCAGGGGCAGCTAGGTGACACAGTGGATACAGAACCAGCTCTGGATTCAGGAGGACCCGAGTTCAAATCTGGCCTCAGACACATAACACTTACTAGCTGTGTGACCCTGGGCAAGTTACTTAACCCCACTGCCTAGCCAAAAATAAATAAATAAATAAATAAAATCGAGTTTAGCACCTCATCAGGAAGTAGAAGGAAAATTATTCTGAAGGGAGAATACAGAGTGATCTTAAAAATGACATGGAATGTCACAAAAATAAGACACCAACCCCCAATACCACAATGGGATGGTGGTGAAACAGTGAGAAGTATTGTGGATTCTTATTAGTCTGATCTGCCACTTTCTAAAATAAGGCACCACTCCCATAATAAGATGGTAGTGAAATAGTGGGAAGCAGACTAGACTTTTAGAATTCTGATCTGCCACTTTCTAGCAGTGTGACCTTGGGCAAATCATTTTACCTCAGTTAACCTCAGCTATAAAATGGTGGCAATAATATTTGCATCACCTACCTCAAAGGACTGTTGTGAAGATACCATAATGGACATAAAGCACTTTGTAACTGTAAAATGATACAAATATATGCTATTGTTTTATATACCACTCAAGATAGTTGTCTTCCCCTGTTTCCTAGTATCCTCCAGTACTTAAGACAAGGCAGTTGTCTATTAGTCTTTCTTGCTACTTTTGCCTTAACTTTCTTTTCTTGCGCTTCTAGTCTTTTTGCTCTTGATTCCTCCGAAGGGAAGACAAAGAGCACCTAAGACCTTAAAGTCACCTCCTTCCAAAGACTTAAAATCGTTTCCACACTCCTCCAAGTCACTTAACCAGGTTTCAAAAGCGAAGCCTATTTCTTTCTACTCCTTCCCCCCACATCACACGCACCCTCACAAATAGGGGAAACTCTAAGAGAAGAAATAAAGGGACTTCAGGAAGGGTCATTTGCTCTGTCCCCGCCCTCCTGGGTCGTGCTCTGTATCAGGACGAGTGGTCAGGAATTGCCCCGGCGCAGGGGGAATGCTGGAGCCTGCGCCCGCCCCGCCCTGGGCTATGAGCTGGGGGCGAGGGGGAGGGGAGGAGAAAGGGCGTGAGTGTGACCTGAGATTCCAAGGGCCCTGCCCCGTTCCAGTCACCCCGGGTCTCCTCGTTTCCCACTCCCTCCGCCTCCGGGCCCACGTTCCCCTCTGCCCTCCCCGCCCACCGCCCGGGGTCTCCTTCCCTCCTGCGCTCAGGACCCGCTCTCACTGCACGACATCTTCGTTGACATCCAGCCGGAAGGTGTCCCGCAGCTGGCGAATGCACCAGTCCACCAGCTGGGCCCCAGACGCCGAGACGGCCGCCGCCATCTTCCCCGCCCCACCAGAGCCAAGCCCCGGCCGCGCCGTGTCCGTTGCCTGCTCCTCCGTGTCTTCCGGCAACACGGACGCAACCCACTAAAGTTCCGCGGGCCACAAAGGTTCCGCTGGGCCGGTCAGGCGGGCTCTGGAAAGGCCAGAGATCCATGCTCACTCCAGCACGTTGTCCCGCCATCGGGCCCAGCTGGGGGCCTAAGAAAAGGAGAGCGAGGGGGTGAAGGAACAAAGGCCGGACCCAGGAAGCCAGACGTCAGTGGGGAACCTTGTGAATCCCATGCTTTGTCCCTTGCCAGGGTCTCCCCTCGAATGCTGCGGCCACATGGTCCAGAAATACGTTTGGGACTTGTGTTCTTGCCGCCCGTCTCTAGGCCCGAAACTGGCACTCGGGGCAGGTCTTCCCAGATACCCCTGTGCAATGAAGACGTGGGGCAGCCTCCAGCGCTAGCGTCCGATATTTCTGTTTTTCTGCCTCTTGGAAACACATGGGGAAGGGGAAAAGCCAAACCAACAAGCGCTTTTCAATAAAATAGCTCAGTCCTAGAGAAACTATTTGTGCACTAAGATACTACATCATGAAACCTTTCCAATGATTTCTTACCTCCTCCTCCCCACCCTCCCCTAGTAAAGCAACATGTGCTGTTTCTGTTAGCTCCTAGAGAGAAGGGGCTTTTGATATTGTATTTGTATGCCCAAAGCATAGTGCAGTTCCTGGCACATTATGGACATTATAATGTCCTTTTTTTTTCTTCATACTGACCTGTAATGTCATCCCCATGTAAGGAAATTCTCTCTTGTCAATTCATACAAACAGACATTAAGTGCCTGTGTGCCAGGCTAGTATGTGTGAATATAAAGACAAAAATGAAATCACTTCTACCTTCAAGGAGTTTACATCTTTGGGCCAGATAACATGTATTTACATAAAAGTTTATGCAAAATAAATCTACTCAGCTCAAGTGAGATCATGGACATAAAGCACTTTGTAAACCTTAAAGCCCTATATAAGTGCTAGGTATTATTATTAGTCTACAGGTGCTAGGTCTTAAGTCTGGTGATGACTTTCTACAACACCCCTGCTGGGCTCAAGCGGTGCTTAAGGAGTAATAGAGGTAAATGTTTAACAATGGGACTGCATATAAATGCCTTTAAATTGAATCCACATTATGAACACTTTCTTAAGTCTAGACAACCAACAAAACGCTAAATCAAGCCCTGATTTGTATCAGTTGCCAATTTCTTAGATGTAATGCTCATACTGATAATTTAAGAAACTGTTCTCCAAAGCCTGTTAGAGCTGGTACCAGCACACTTCTGAATATAAGGGAATATATCAGCAGCTGGGAAAATGAAGAAAGGAGGGGCAGTTAGGTGGTGCAGTGGATAGCGAACCAGCCCAGGAGTCAGGAAGACATGAGTTCAAATCCGGCCTCAGACCAAACACGACGCTTACTCGCTGTGTGACCCTGGGCACCCTAAAAGTAAGAAAAAAAAAAAGAAAAAGATCGGGAACGTAAGGCAGTAAGAAGGTCTATGTTCAAATTCACATTTACTAGCTTTTAGGGCAGCTAGGTGGCGTAGCGGATAGAGCACTGGCCCTGGAGTCAGGAGGGACCTAAGTTCAAATCCGATCTCAGACACATAACACTTACTAGCTGTGTGACCCTCGGCATGTCACTTAACCCCAATTGCCTTTAAAAAAAAAAAACCTTCAGTTTTCTTGAAAGTTCAGCTCAAGTGGCACCTTCTACAGCAAGCCTTTACTCATTTTCTTTTGGGTAGGCAATGGGGTTAAGTGACTTGACCAGGGTCACAGCTAGTGTCAAGTGTTTGATCTGAAGTCGTATTTGAACTCAGATCCTCCTGACTTCAGGGCCGGTGCTCTATCCACTGCGCCACCTAGCTGCCCCGAGAACTGGAGATTTTAAGGAGTAATATAGGTAGCAGCTGCTCAAGGTTGTTGTGAGGATCAAATACCATATATGTGAAACTTTTAAAAAATACCATATAATGTCAGTTACCTTTCTGATTGCTATTACAAATCAGTCTTCCAAATTAGTAATTTTTAAACGCTGTTTTCAGAAATGGGGTGACTATTATACAAATCAATCTCTAATGTTATATCTTGTGTGCTGGGGAATTTAGATCCCATTCTTCTGTCTTCAATTCAAGAAAGACTGATTAGGGTTTTCTTTCAAAGGAGGCTCCATTGTATACAATCTTGAGATTTGAGGTCTCAAGTTGGAAGGGACCTCTCAGAGCCTTTTAGTCCAACACTTTCATTTTAAGTCTAGGGAGCTTAAATGACTTGCCCAGGGGCAGGATATACAACAAACATTTGTTAAGTTTCTAAGTTGTTTGTGTACAAGAGAGTGGGGGGTAATAAAATAAAATAAAATATGGTCATTATCCTCGTCTTTGTGGAGCTTGCAGTCTGATATAGAATTTGACACATACACAAATAATTAAAAGTAGGTGCCCATTCACATATAAATGCAACTTTCCTTTAATACAGTAGCCAGGGATGGGGAATAAAGTGCCAGTTATTATTATTCGTCTACAATCATTAGGCCTTAAGTCTGGTGACGACTTTATGCCCTCAGCTTTCTACAACATCCCTGATGAGCTCAAGCAGTGCTTAAAGAGTAATACAGAGTAGTATGTAATATAATAATAGAGTAGCAGAAGCCACATGTGGCTCTCTAGGCCCTCAAGTTCAGTCCTTTGACTGAACTCCCTTCGTAGGCCTATACTTTCTCTTCCAAATATAGCCCTTCATTATCCCAGATTTCAACAGGCTCTAAGAACTTGTTTCATTCTTCCTAATTTCAATAAATTCAAGAAAGTTAATTCAATACAACAAACATTTATTGATTGTAACCTATGGCTCAAAGTGGAACCCTCTCTACCCTTTCAAAAATCCAAATAAATGATTTCTATAGTATTCTTCTGATCTAATAACCATGCTAAATAGGTAGGTCCAGTATAGCCTGTTCTATATGCCTTGCATATAGAAAAGTTTCCTTTTCTATATATTCTATATATTCACTAACTATGCCTTTAATAGTAATTTTAGAATTTTTCCAGGAATCCAAATCAAGTTCTCTGACTTATAGTTAGCCTACAATGAATTTACACATTGTTCAGAGGGAACTGAGACTTCTTAGGAAGCATTCTTGGGCTGCAAATTACAGTACATTTAAATTATGGGTTTCTATATGTCCCTTCCTCTTTTCTCTCATTTTTCTTCAGCCAAAATAGGTATGTCATCTTTCATCATTGTTGTTAAAAAAAAAAAAAGTAGCCATTTAGTCTCTCCACCCCCCCCACCCTATTTCCTCCACTCCCCTTCCCTTTCCCCAGGACCACTTTATTTAAAAGATCTTTGGGTAATTCTTCCTAGATATACCTGCCTTTTAACATTTCTGTTAGACTTATGAATAGGGAGTAAAGACATGTAGATATGATAAGGACTGTATGTAATTGAACCATCACCCCAAACTTAATACTCACTTGTAAGCCCTCTTTAAGAATGAGTTTCAGGTAACTAAGAAATCTCCGGGGTTACAATGATTGAAGGCATGAATGATGAGTGATAAAATGAAATTCATAAATAATGAAATGAAATTCAGTAATGTGCAATTACACATTTACCAGAGGCTTGGAATTGGGAGAACAAAGAAATATCTCAAGCTCTAGATCTTCAGCAAGAACCTCAACTATACAATCTTAGACTCTCCAGAGTTAGTAAATCTCCTTTGGAACCCAGGGATGCCTTCCTAATTTTGTATCACAAAGAGTTGTTAATTCCTTGATTGTGTTCAGTAGCCTAACTCTTACTAGCCTAAGCACAATCTATTAAATGCCCTCTAGATACACATATAGTATTGTCCTGGATGAACTTCTTAACTACGATTAATTTTTTAACTAGTATAGTTCTCTAGATGCAAGAGAGGATTCATCCCTACTTGAAGCCTTTCAACTTGCCAGAGCTTATGTTCTGTGACCATAACCTAGAGAACCCAGGGTCACTTTCAGACGAAAGTGAGGTATCAGACAGAATAAGGCATTATGTAGAATTTAAACTGAGAAATTAATAAAAATTATCCCAGGTGGGCAAAGGTGAGTGGCGGTTGTCAACAAGGATGGGGTGGTAGGAAAGGGGTCCCTGCCTGGAAGTTCCTGAGACAGAAGTGTTGAAATGTCCAGAGCACGATTTTTGGATAAGGCTGATGAGAAGATGACTCTTGATCCTTAAAGGAATCACATTAGTGAAGGGGAATCAAAGGTCCAGAAATTTCCATGAATTTAAAATCAGGGTAGCTAAGTTCAAATTTTGAACCTACTACTTATTGCCTTTGGGATTTCAAAGACAAGTCCCTTCTATTCTCTGGGCCTCAGTTTCCTCACATTTAAAATGAGGAAAATGATTCCTAAAATACCTTCTGATTCTAAAACTCATTCAACTCTATTTACTTCTTTTCCCCTACTTTGCTTCCCAAATTTGTGGGGAATCAAATTTCACTAAACAGCAATCTCAGACTTCTTTTCCTTATCTATTTATCCCAAGACTCAATCATGACAAATAGTCGTGGGTTTTTTTGTTTTTTGTTTTTTGCTTTTTACCAATTTGGGGATTTTTAGAAAAGCTGAAATAATTTTTTAAAAACTCAATTAAATTGAAATGGATTTGTGTAATCTGCAAATTGGACAAAATAAATGTGTCGTACACATTTCAGGGTGTTTTTTAAATTGAAGTAATTTGTTTTAAAAAACTCGATTGAACTAAATTTGTGTAATCTTTAAATAAAAATAAATGTCTTTCACATACCGGGTTTTTTTATATTAAGAAAAATGTTTGTAATTGTTAAAAACACAATAAAACTGGCTTTATATAATTTGTAAATCTAATAACTTAAATAATTATAAGTTTAATTGTAATTTGTTATTTATTAGATTTGTAAGTTATTTAAAATAAATAAATCCACATTTTAGCTTTTTTAATAACTTTCGCCCAACTCCTCTGTATGTATGTAGGTATGTATGTAGGTATGTATGTAGGTATGTATGTAGGTATGCACGTATATAGTCATACAGACAGACATACTGCTTTGCTCCTGGGGAAAGGACCCAAGGACGTTTCGCCACGCCCATCCAGAAACGAGGACCAATTACGAGTCTTTCTACGTTGATGGATGGCTCCATTCTTCATCCTGTCCCATCTCCGACATCGCTGGACGCTGCTGATTAGCCCACGGACCCGAGAATGAGCCAATGAGAAAGTGGGAGGTGTCGAGCCCCGCGAGGGCGCGGGAAACCGGCTGGTTTAAATGGGGGGCGGGGCGCGCGGGAGTTTGGCTTTCCAACTGTGCGGCTCTAGGGAGGATCCGACCTCTGTCCACTGGCCTTGTCCCTGTCCCTGTTGTTTCGTCGTCCACTCCCGCTTTGGTCATGGTGCGGACTAAGGCCGACTGCATGCCAGGCTCCTACCGCAAAGGTGATTCTGCAGGACTGGGCGGGCTGCAGGTTACTCGGGCGGCTCCGCGGAGCCGGCGCGCCAAAAACGTCCGGAGGGCGGAGGCCCCAGGTCTCCTCCCGAGGGGCAGGGTCTGCCGGGCTGCCCGGGGCGTCTGGGTCGGGTCCCCTCCTCCCTCCCGTTCTCATCCATCTGCCGCCTCTTCATCTCCTTGTTTCTCTCCCTCTCCCTGCAGTGGTGGCGGCTCGAGCGCCTCGGAAGGCTCTGGGTCACTCCAGTTTCGCCAACACCTCTCCTTCGCCTCCGTCCCGGAAAGGTAAGGACCTACTCCGCTGCCCCCCGGAGTGATGGCAGAGTGGGGATCATAGTTGAGCGGGAGCAGGTTTGTGGACCCGAGCCCGGCCCGCTTCCAGCTTGATGGCCAGCGCTCCCTTTTTTCGTTTATTTCAAGAAGTATTATGTTAATAATCTGGAGACTGACTGTTTTGTGGTGATAATATCTTTAAATTTAGCTTGTGTTTGCAAGTGAGGTAACCGGTAAAACGCTTTGTAAAACTCTAATTCTAACGCTAATATTTTTTTTCCCTATATGGCGGTATAGAAACGCCAACACTTTAAGTTCACTGTCCACTTCCCACCTGGAATGTGCCCCTTCCTCATCTCTGGTCTCAGTCAAGTTCCAGCTAAAATCCTCCCTTCTGCAAGAATATTTTCCTGCCTTCTCCCTGAGATTATCTGCAGTTTGTTCCGTTCATATTTTGCTTGCACATAATTATTATTAGCGTATTATCTCCTATTAGACTGTAAACTCCTCAAGAGCAGGAACTTGTATTCCTAGTACATAACTCAGTGCATGGCACGTAGTAGACTTCACTTCACTGTGATTTGTGTCCATCGATTGTCCGTTTTCTGTGTCTCTTCCTTGTTTTCTTGGGCCGTTATAAAGTTTTTTTGGGAGGAGGTTTTGGGGGAACCATTTCTGGTGTTTTTCAAAGAGAAAGAGCTAGCAAGGTAAAACACATTTCATGCCTCTCCGCCTACGCATAGGGAGAAGAGGAAATGTTATACCATCTGAGTCTTGGCTCCCTTCAGCAGGAAGTTGTACAGGGGAGGAGAGTATTTCAACGTCTGATCCAAAAGGTGGAAAGGGGAACAGTTTTAGAAGAGAAAGAATAAATTGACCCAAGAGCAGTTCACGAGTATAATCTTTGGAACTGTTTTTTAAGTGAAAGAAAGAATGAATGAAAAATATTTTTCAACATATAGTAAGTGCCAACCATTGTGCCTTTAAGCATTGGAGATACATATAGTCTAGATACAGCTAGAGAGTCCCTGTTCTCAAAGAGCTCAGTATCTAATTAGGAGAGACAACACATAAATGAAAGTTTAGCTTCAGGGATAATGGAAAAGGCTAGAAGTCTAAAGGGTTCATTAAAAGGACAGATGGCAAGACCAAAGGGGCCCTTAAGATCAGAGGATAATTGACTTTAAAGGTGAAGGTCATCTAAATCCAACCCTTTCCTTTTACCAATGAGGATACTAAAGCCCAGGGAATTTAAATGAGGTGGCCATGGTCACAGTAATAGCAAATACAATATTTGAACCCAGTTTCTCTGGCTTCAGGTCCCATACTCTTCCATTATAACTCAAGTAGCTTCCCAAACATCAAAATTGTTGAAACTTGATTGTGGAAACACTTGACTTTTCCTAAAAAATAACTGTGCTTGTTTCTGAATATATGTTGATACATGTCCAAATAACTTGGGCCAGCATATACTACTATATAGATGCATGGGAGCAACTAGTGGAACCATTTCTGGTCCTTTTTTGTACCAATGGCAATTTCTGTGGTTTGCAGAATGACTGAAATCAGTGTCCCAAGTTTAGGTTAGTAAATGAAAAGATAAAATTTTGGAGTTGGAAGGGACTAGAAGATCACTCATTTTACAAGTAGGAAACCTAAGGTTTATTGGCTTAAAGTCATACATACAGCTAGTTTGTGATTTAGCTGCAATTAGAATCTACATTAAATTTCTTCCTACTTTATTCAGGGTAATAGATTTCTTTAAAGGCTGTTTAAGCCTTATTACTTCCTTCTATTATCTCCATTTTAACTTTATCATCACAAATTATGTTTGTTTTATAGAGTGGATAAAGCTAAATTCTTGGAAGGGATCTCATAGAAGATCTAGTTCAACTTTGTTATTCTATTCCAAGTCTCTCCTGACTCCAAAACCAGCTTTTCTTCCACCACTACCCTTTACTGCTTATCTTTATGACTTTACTAAATTTACCATTTTACTGTCTTTATTAGAAATAAGATCTTTGCATTTGTGTTTAAATCTTACGTAAGTACAATAATAGTACTTGAATAACTGTTTTGTAACTAAAAATTGAGAAATACTTTTCCACTCAAACAGTGACTAGCACATTAAACTTTATTACCTCATTGAGTATGCATTTTTGCATGTCATTTTTTGGCAGTCATTTGTTCCAGGTCATTTTAAATTGGGATTAATATTATTTCCCAATGACTTTGAAAGGTAGATGTTACTAAAAGTAATTTGGGATGTTTTAGTTAAGCAGGAAATTAAATACATGTTGACATAAAGGTGATATTCGTAAGTCCTAATGTATCATTTTTCTTTTCCAGTTGAAAGTAAGTATGCAGGGGGGAACCCAGTATGTGTACGGCCAACACCCACATGGCAAAAAGGAATTGGAGAATTCTTTGGGATGTCATCTAAACACTCAGAAAAAGAGAATCAAATTCCTGATGAAGCAGAGGCAGGAAATAGTGGCCTAGGAAAACCTAAAAGAAAGTAAGTTTTAATTTGATGGGTAGATTGCAAACATTGAAAGCATTTTTTTTTTTAAGCCAAAGACAAGGTTTATTAAAGATCCACCATATTAGCCAGACTCTTAAGGAATCTAAACATTTGTGAGCTATTGGCTAGATTGCAAAATCTGAGCACCTTAATGAACATAAGATGGACCTTATATACAGAAAAACTGTGGGAGGGATCTAGGAAGGATCTTGATGCGAGTGACTGGGAGGTCAAGAATGGTATCTACATAGGGTCCAGGGTGGGGAGTAGCCAGGGGCTATCAGCTAATAGAGGTAATAGACTATGGGGACCTGGGCTAGGTTAAGGGTAACAGAGAATTGAGAGATTAGGTATAGACAATAATGAAAGGCCAATTGATAGGAGTACAGCCTCAGGAGAATGCCAGAGACTTCCTTGATAAAGTGGGAGAATTCAAGGAGAATCCCATTGACAAATGTGACCCAAATTCTTTTTGGGGTAAGTGGCAAAGGTCTTGGCTTGGGCTGGTACTGCTTTAGTTGCCCTTGGCTTTACTCTGTATCAGTGCTTAGCCAATACATTGTGTTTTCTGGAAGAATTTAGGTTATTTTTGCTTCCTCACTATCAAAATTAATCTAAATTGATTAAGTTTTATATGAAATTGATAGGGGCAGGTGGGTGGTGCAGTGGATAGAGCACCGGCCCTGGCTCAGGAGGACCTGGATTCAAATCCGGCCTCAAACACAAAACACTAGCTGTGTGACCCTGGGCAAGTCACTTAAGCCCATTGCCTAGCCAAAGGGGGGGGAAATGAAATTGATAAAATTAGTGTTTTTCTTCCATTCATTTCTTACTTTTGAACATCAATTGTTTAAATAGGTTTCCCAGAGTTCTTGTAATTGTATATCATGTATTTCTCACTTTATCTTTCTTCTTCTGCATTGAATATTTTAAGCATTTTTAAAGTTTACATTAAAGCTAATAAGATAAATTATTTGATCCAAAATATTTTCTGTCACTTAGTTGAACTAATTCTATAACTTAAATTTTAATAATCTTAGAAACATCTCAAAATATAACATTGCAATTTGATTTGTTGACTATTAGCATATTACACTATTTTTTGTGTTTTAAGGGAAATTGTTTTTTGATCCTTTTTTGGTCATGTCCAATTTTTTGTGACCCCATATGGGGTTTTCTTTTTGTTTTGTTTTTGCTAGGCAATGAGGTCATAGGGTTTTCTTGGCAAAGATACTAGTTAGAGTGGTTTGCCATTTCCTTCTCCAGCTCATTTAAAGATGAGGAAACTAAAAACTGAGGCAAACAGGGATAAGTGACTTGCTCAGAGTGACACAGCTAGTGAGTGTCTGAGGCCAGATTTGAAATCAGAATATCAGTCTTCTTGACTCCAGGCCTGATACTCAATCCATTGCACCACCTAGCTGACCCAAGTTATTGTTGTTCAGTCCTTTTTCAGTCATATCTGGCTCTTTATTACCACTTTGGGGTTTTTCTTGGCAAAGACACTAGAGTGGTTTACCATTTCCTTCTCTAGCTCATTTTATAGATGAGGAAACTGAGGCAAACAGAGTCACACAGCTAGTAAATGTCTGAGATCATATTTGAACTCTGGAATATGAGACTTCCTGACTCCAGGTACAGGATTTATCTATTGCCACACCTAGCTGTCCCTAAGGAGAATTCAAACTTGGCATTGTTCTTTGTCTCTGCTCTTACTCTGATTCTATAGGTCTCCAAGTAAATTGCTTCCTTTGATCTTTAATTTTCATTTCCTACTTTTTAAGCTATATTGAAGGAGATTTTTGATTTGATTTGATTTTTTTCGTTCTGAACATAATGTCAAATAAGATGAGCATTTCACTATACAAATTGTACAATGTAGAACAAGTAAGAAGATTTTATGTGAAGCTACAAATCTGAATTAAGGAAAAGCTTGCTTTTCTTTTCAAATATATAATAAATTCAACCTGTTATTTTAAAAGCTGTCCTGCCTATCTGTTTTCTTCTGACAAGTTCTCTTCTATGCATTTTTAAAAATACTCCACTGACCTGACTCTTTTTCTTACCTTTTAAAAATTTTGATAACTCCATCCCTATTTTCAATTTCTTTCACCCCAAATTTAAGGAAATCTAAAACCTTTCTATCAGACATGCATAGTCAATCAAAACAAATCTCCACATTGGCCATGTCCAAAAATGTATATTTCATTCAACACCTTGAAGTTATCACTTCTCTGTCAGGAGGTAAATAAATAGCATATTAATCAGTGGTATTTTGGAATTGTTGTAGGCCATGGTGTTGATTTGAGCTTTTAAGTCTTTCAAAGTTATCTTTTGTTTATGATGTTCTGCTTACTTTGTTCTCCATCAGTTCATACAAATCTTCCCAGATTTGTCTGTCTAGTTTGATTTTAGATAACTTATGAAGAACTAATTTTAAAATACCCTTTCATGAAGCTTTCATGATTTTATATAACTTATAAAGAACTAATTTTAAAATACCCTATCTTTCATGAATTTTTTGAATGAATACTCTATTCAAAATAAAAGGTTAGGACAATTAAATGATGTTTATACATATGTCCCTTGCTTACTTATATTTTATGATCTTACCTATCTCTAGATATGAATGAGGGGGGTGTCATAATTTAGAGGAGTATTGACATATCCTGACCAGTATTTCCTAAATAAGTTTTTGTGGTTTCATGGTTCCAAGAAAAGCTAGAGGGTAAAGATAAATTGTAACAATATATTCGTCTTAGGCTAAAACTGCTTTTTTGTCATCCTATTGATCTTTCCTTGTTCCCTAATATTGTCTTACAAATCTCACTTATTGAACTGTGTAAGATACTCTAGTCAGTCCTTGCTCTTAGTTCTCACAGGACTAGCCCAAAAGGTTATCAATGTTTTTTTTCTTCTAAAGTCTAAGGCCTCTTATTATTTGTGATTTCCATCCTTTTACAGAGATAGATGTATCTTAAAACACAATATTCTTGGTTATTGTAAAGCTAACATGTTTTACAAAATTTCCATGCTCTAGAAAGATACCATTGATACATGTAGTTGCCAAGTCTTGTCAATTGTATTTACACAAGCTGGCTCAACGTTCAGGATCAATTCCCCTCATGGACCCCCTATAATACTAAAAATAACATGTGACTCACTCCATTTTGTTTTTTAACTGCCACTTAGTGGATCTAAGTTTCAGCTGCTTATAAGTCATCTTAGTTTGGAGGAGTCACAAGATTACTCACCCTCCCAAGAGCACCCAGCTTAAAGAACATCACAAAACAACCCCCTTTTTTTTGTCTCCTGATTGTCTCCCATCCCCTCCACCCAACCCTCACCCTCACTTCATTGTTTCCCATCCCCTCTTGCAATAAGAAATCAGATACCTTAACCTTTTCATCCCATTAACTGGATAAAGGCTAAAATTCTGGATTCTTGGCTTCCAAGAGCCTTGCACCCAATTTGTTTTGCAACTGCATGTACTACTAAATAAATCATTTGTCTGGATAAAACCCTGTTTCTTTATTTCACTGTAACAACCCCCACCCTCATGACACTATGTTTTATAACTGCTTTATTTTGGAAAAGTTACAATGAACATGAAGTTGATTTGCATGAGGTCTGGTAAATAGATTCCAGAAACCAACCAAGACATATCATCAACTTTGTAGCTCTGCCCTGCATAAGTGGGTTACTTTTGTTGTCTAACACAAAATAGACAGACAATAATAACTTGCTGGAACTGAAAGCTACATATCACTCATGTGCCAATATGCTTGGCAACATGTTCAATAAGAATATATGATGAATGGAGCAAGCAGGATGTGAGATAGGAGATAAGATTCAGGATGTGACCTGCCAGAAAAGTGATCAAAGAAGACTGCATTGAAGCCCCAACCATTGACTTATCTGTGTGCTTTCACAAAGCACCCTCAATTCCTGAACAATTCTTCCCCTCCACTATCCCTTTCTCTTTGCTTATCACCTCCAGACTACCTGATATCCCAGGCTTGCTCCTCCCATTCTCTTGTCCCCTTCCCCCATTCTATAAAATTGTATTTAAACCATACCTTCGACCTAGCTAACAGCCTTTGTCTGCTATGAGGAGCAGGGCCTTTGGCCTATGTTCTGCCTCCCACGTGGAGTAGAGCCCATTGAGGCTCTGCCTCACAGAGCAAGCCCGGCTTGGGTGCATCACTCCAATGAATGTCTTTCTTTAATTTGGAGACTGTCCACGTGAATTCTTTCAGGACACTATTCTATTTCTCATCATTTCAGGTAGCACTCCAACATTCTTGGGATCTACCCTGAACTCATCACCAATGGCTACAGAGAAGGTCTAAGTGAATTCTTTCACACCTGAACCACTCTCCCAACTCCAACATCAACATATAGATGATGGTGAATTATAGTATCCGTTAAAAAGAAAATACAGGGGCAGCTAGGTGGCACAGTAGATAGAGCTCTGGCCTTGGAGTCAGGAGGACCTGAGTTCAAATTCAGTCTCAGACGCATAACACTTACTAGCTGTGTGACCCTGGGCAAGTTACTTAACCAAAAAAAAAAAAAAAAAGAAAAGGAAATACAGATCTCACTGAATCTTAGGGGGGGAAATTAAAAATGGACATTTTTGCTGGGTACAGAATATTTAGGCACCTGTAGTTTTTGTGTGTTACATTTGATGATTTTTTTTTTCACTTTTTCCTTTCTGTCTAGCCACTGAAACCCAACATTGCTGCCTTCATTTCCCTTATTTGGATAGCATTACAATTGTTCTTTTTAAGCATCTAATGCTTGGGTGACTTCTGAAATTTTTTGTATTCTTCCTATAGATCTCTTCCTTTGCAACCTGATCCCACAGAAGATGATGGATGTTCAGATGAAGAATAGAACATTCTCATGTATCTTTGCTTTCATCAGAATTCTAGGATGTACATTGGTGTAAATATGTTTGTTTACAGTGGTTAAGGTTTAATTTTTTTTTGTACAGAAATTTAATTAAAAATACTAAAAAAAATCTGCTTAAATTCAGTCAGTAGTAAGTAGTTCTGAATGGGAGACTATAAGATTATTATATGCACATATATAATTAGCATAGCCATCAATATTAAGCAGTATTTTATTCCTGTTCTTAATACTGTAAGCTCCTTATTTACCAGAAAACCATTACATGGTGTTATAAATAACTTGTGATATTGGAGATTGGCTTGAATCTTTGTGCCACTGCCATTTTATTGGCATCTTTTTTGAAATAGTGCCATATTTTTGTTCTTCATTTGCTTGAAAAGCAGTAGACTTTGCACATTTAAAAACTATTTTCCCAGTATTAACAAAACTGAAGGGATATACTTTTAATGACTTAACTTTCTTCAGAAAGAGAGGTCAAATGCAATTTTGAAAGCATTTAGAGAGGTATCCTCTAGTTAGGAAAAGACTGTTTTTCTATTTGTCTCAAATTTTTAATAGGTAGAAGTTCATAATGCATTTTATGTGCTAAGATTCCTTTTAAGATAAAACATTCAATTTATAGCAGCTCTTTTTGTAGTGGCAAAGAATTGGAAATTAAGGGGATGACCATTAATTGGGGAATGGCTGAACAAGCTGTGGAATATGATTGTGATGGAATACTATTGTGTTGTAAGGAATGATGAGCAGGAATCTTTCAGAAAAATCCAGAAAGACTTACAGGAACTGATACAAAGTGAAGTGAGAAGAACCAGGAGAACACTGTACACAGTAACAACAATATTGTACAATGATCAACTGTGAATGATTAGCTATTCTCAACAATACAATGATCCAAGACAATTCCAAAGGACCCATGATGAAAAATGCTATCTACCTCCAGAGAAAGAATTGATGGAGTCTGGATGCACATTGAAGCATACTTTTTTTTCTATGTTTTTTTTCACCATGACTAATTTGGAAATGTTTTACATAACTGTACATGAATAATCCATATCAAAATGCTTTCCTTCTGAAGGAAGGGGGGAGGGAAGGAAGATAATTTGGAACTCAAAATTTTAAGGAAATGAATGCTAAAATTATTTTTTACATGTAATTGAGAAAAAAACTTTTAAAAAACATTCATATTAACCAAGAAAGCTAACTGTATGAAAAAAACCCTAGATCACAATAATAATTGTTATTTTAATTATAGCTCACATGTAAATAAATAGTGCTTTACAGCTTACAAAATGCTTTCCTGACAGCAACCACGTGTGGTAAATAGCACAAGCAGTAATAATGACAATTCCCATTTCTATAAGGAATTTATTCTAAAGCATTTTCTCCATAACTATGTGGGATAGATAGGTAATATAGGTAGTATTAGTATCCCCATTTTCTAGATGAGGGAGCTGAGGCTCAGACTAGCAAAGTAGTTTGCCAACGCTTGAATGCTGGTCTTATGATTCCAAGTCTTATGCTCTTTTCCTCTTCTGCCATGAGGAAATATTATTTGTCTTAAGTGCTAAATATCTAAACCTTAAAGGTGAGAGAAAGTGTGTATTAAAACTGCTGATATGCAATTTTCATTTCTTGCAGAGGCTTTTCTGAATATTCTAAATAAAAATCTCTTGGAATTTTTTTCCCTACTTGTACATAAGACTTTAAGCACTGACTAGAATTTTTATCACAATTACTGTAATTCCACCTAGCAAAAAACATGTCCCTGCAAGTAAACTGGAAAAAATAATCTCAAGAAAAAAGAAATTATAGGATGCCTGGCACATAGTAGGCACTTAATGGTTGTTCATTGATTTCATTAATGAATATTAGCATCTTGATTCTTAATTAGGATCACTGAAACAATTTTTAAAAATAATTAACATAGGAATATGTTGCTCTGTTGCCAGATATTTCCTAGGCACAAAATTTATTAGTCTACTTTTAAGATGAAAGGTGAGGACCAAACTGAATCAGAAAAGGCCTATCCTATGTGTGTATCCAAAGAGTATAAGACCTCCGTTATATCTTTCATGATGTAACTAGGTAGGATGATAATATGGTCTCACTTTGTAATCAAGCTTTTTGTTCACTGACATGTCAAATAAAAAAATCAACTTTAATCTGAATATTTGTTTTTCTGGTATGAACAAACTTTGAAATAAAAACTTTCATAATACATAAAGCACATTGTGAGTGTTGGCTAATACTGTCTTCTGTCTATTCTACTTTTTTGCTTCTGGTGTAGGTTTTATAGAGTTCCAAATTTTTTTTCATGTTCTTGTCGCCACAGAGGATGCAATTGCTTTTTCTATACTTTCACAAAAGAACATTCCTAAAACTGGAAGCAGGGAGATTCCTCATCTCTCAATTTTATGATCTCCATGACCATTTGTTTTCTAGGGACTACAGTCTGATCCTATGAACTTTTCAGACAGGTTTTGGTATGACTCAAGGAGTAAGATTTAAAAGTCACTAGTATGCTCATTCCATAATGAACTTTAAGTTGGTATAGTCCAGAATTACTCATTTATTTTCTTGGTTTCTTTTTGACAAATCGTTATTTCTTAAGTAGTCATCCTATTGGGAAGAAATAAAAATAACCCTAGGGAACTCATTTTGGGAGTTTTCGCTTTTTGTTGTTCAGTCATTTAGTCACGTCTGACTCTTCATGACCCATACACATCCAGCAATTCTTTCTCCTTCGTTATTGTTTTTCCTTCATTTTCAAAGAGGAACAATGATGTCTTGACTTGCAGATGAATTGGACTTAAGTGAGATGGAGTTGTGCAGCCTCACTCTTCCAGTCATCAAAGTCCAGTGGTAGGACAAAAGGCTAGATGACTGGAGATGGCACAGATGCAGTGGATAACCTTGGCATCTTCAATATCTGACCAAGCTCCACAACACCTACTTCAGCCAACTTCATGGCTGTTTGAACAAATTGTTCTTGTCTACTATTCCACCAGGGGAAGTCTTTGCATGCTTGGGATAGACACCCCCCTACCTCTGACAGATTTAAGGCCCATTTGTTACCCTGTTGGAGTATATGTGAGGGCTTGCTGAGCCCTTTTCTGGGCTTCTTATCCACCTTTGGTGTCCACCTAACACCCAAGTCTCATCTATGACTCCAAGAAGTTTTAGCATGTACAGCAACCACACTCCAGCAAAATCTCCAAACATGAGCTAAACCAGATTGAGGAGCTTAAATGTTCATTGACTGACTTATTGACTATAATGATAAGAAAAAAAAATACTACAAGTAGCAAAAGACAGTTCTAGCATGCCAAAGAATATCCATCAGGATCACAAGACTTTTTAATGAATGCAAGAGATGAACAAGAACTAAGAGAAAGTAACATAACCAATGAACCCAGAATTGTATACATAGCAAAACTTTGTTTATGATATGTAGAAACATTTAAATCTTCCCTTTTAGTAAAATTAACCATGTTAAATAATATAGTTCTAAACAGCTTCCTAAAATCCTTGGAGAAGTCTCTTGGAAAGTTGGGTGATAGAGTCAATGATCAATAGTCAATAAAACACATCTCTGTGTGCCACATACTGTACCAAACCCTGGGGATGTAAATATGGAAAAAAGATAGTCCTTATCCTCAAGGAGCTCACAATCCAAAGGGAGAAGACAACACAGAAAAGAAAGCTGAAAGAGTAAGGATAGGAAAGTACCTACCTGATTGGGGATGAGGATGGTGGAAAGAAATTCAAAATGAAAATGTCTGTCATAAAAGCAACAGTAGTTTAGAAAGGAGGAAGAAGGTAGAACTTGCTGTTTCTCGTAACGGACTTGCATTGAATGCATACACATACACAAAGCTGATGTAAGATACATATAACTAAACAGGAAGAGGAAGTGGTGAAGGGCAGATAAGGGAGAAAATAATACCAAAGAAGGAATAGCTGCAAGCAAAATAAAATTATTGCTCCTGAAGGAGGGAAAGTGGGGAGAATAAAAAAAATTAGAATATAAGGCAGTATCTTAGATTGCCTTTTAGACAACTGGGGAATGAATAAATTGTGCTATATAAATGTAATGGAATGTTCTTGTGCTATAAGAAACAACCAAAGAGATAATTTCAGAAAATCTTATCTATGTCTTTGCTTATTCCACACACTACTCCATATACCTGTGATGCACTTTCTACCGTACTCTGGCTAATGAAATGCTATGTATCATTTAAGGCCCAATTTAAATGCCATTTTCATGAATTCTTTCCTCTGTCCTATAATTATTAATATTGTTTCCCTCCTCTGTACCTCACAGCATAGCATTTAGGGTAGGATCTGCTTATACTGTAACTACACCACTTCTAAAACCTTTGCTTGTTGCAGTGAGTAATTCCAGGCTACACATCTACATATGCTCAGGACCATAACTAGCACTCCCTGTATTTCTCCTCCACATCTGTCAGCCTAAACTGCCTCTGCAGATTTTTTTTTTTTTTTTTTGGCTTAATCCAATCTACATTGCAGCCAACCTGGTTAATCTCTGGAAAGTAACATTAAAGGCTTATAAAATTCTGGGCAAGGTTAAGAATTTGTGTGGCTCTGTTGCTTGCCTGTAAAATCTTGAACTATTCTCTTAAGAGCAAATCAATATGCTAGTAATAATTTCTCTATTATCAGCAAATATTTATTTAGTGCCTACTGTAGCTAGGCAGTGCCTATCACTGCTAGATATTTGCTTAGATTTGAGGATTAAATAAAATATGGTTGTAGAGCAGAGCAGTACACTGTTTAATCATGGTATGGGTTCTTTAAGTCCCAAAGGGAGGACAAGCTCTCAAGACAAGTTCTATGAAGTTGAGGTTTCAAGTATGGTGGATTATAGACTATGTCTGTTTTCTAAGGATAAACCTTGCGAAGCTCAGAAGCTTGTTAGCTGTGGAGTGCTCTCAATGACCACCTTTTTTTTTTTAACTTTTTTTTTAAATTGGCCACCTATTAATAAGTCAAAGGAGTCACAACCTTAATCAATGGAGGGAGAGCCTACAATTGTGATCATAGCTCCCTGAAGTGTTAACTGACCTAAACTGGCTGAGATGATTCAAGAATTATTTGTAAGCAAATGGGAGAAACACTGGAACTATCTTGTTACCACACAGGAGTGTAGTCCTAGGAATATAAAGAGAAGATTCTGGGAAGATGGCTGGCGGAGTAGGTCAGAAAACTTTTGCCTCCCCAAATTTCCTGCACAAAAAAAGATGAAAATATTGCCTCAGAGGGAAAAGCAGAAGTAAACAAAAGTCAGGGTAAAGCAGTTGTTCTCCCAAGACTACTTGAGAAGACCCCGGGAAAGACCCAACCCCCAGGGGCTGAAGTTGCTAAAATTGAGGTTTAAATAAAACCCAAGTGAAGTGCAAACACCTCCAGGCTGACTCTGCTGAATCAACAAACAAGAAGCCCTGGGGGGCTGGGTGGAGAGGCAGCCTCAGACTCAGGAACTTTCACCTAAAGGCTGAGTAGAAAATTGAAAGACCTCCCACTGTCAAAGGATGCCAAAACAACCAGACTCGTCCAAGCCACAGCTGTGGGGGGAAAAGGAGCTAGCACATGCCTGGGGAGTGCAACAGCACAGGGATGAGGTCCCTGCTGGCTGTGGGCATTTGTAGGAGAGTGGAGTCCCTGGT